CTTCAGGAGCATTGTGTTGTTTTTTGCACATGTTAGCCTTTTAAATGTTATGCGGGTTGTGTCTGTTACAAAACAGTCTCAACTCAAACTACTGGATATAAACTAATGCAAAAAAAAAAAAACTAAACAAGATTGACGATGTCTATATAGTTATTTAAATGCCTGTCACTGTTGTCGCTGTCTCCGTGGACTCTTTATGGCATGCAAAACAGTTTGACAGTAAAGGTTATATTCCTAAAATGAATCCAGGATCAGATCTCCAAAATCAACACCAAGAAAAAAATCCTCACGGTTTCTTAAAAATAACTGCAGATTGTTTCCAAAAAAATAAGACGTTTAACAATAGTGTCCTTTTTGAAGAGAGCATCTTTTGCAGTAATGTCTTTTTATTTCAGAGTGCAGGAATTTAACTTTTAAGGTGCTTGAAATAGCGACAGAGGTGCCTCTGTTCCCGAATTTGTGAACACTGTTTTGTAACATTTGAGCGCCATTATAACGACAGTATCAGCTAAAGCTTCTGTGCTCACAAAACACCGTTGTTTTTTTTTAGGTGAACTTTGGTTGTGGTTTTTAGGGTGTTTACTTTGACGCCTTTGATATCAAAGCCTTCATGACCCTACTTCAGCGTCACCACCACATGTTGCTACTGTAGCTTTGACTCTGATGGATTACTGTTTTTACACAGCTCAAGTCTGAGCTGCGACTTTGAAACAATATTGTAAAGAATAGGAGCTAATCATCTCTAATAATGAAACAGACATAAGTAATGTTAGGGGGACAGTATTTGTTGTATTGAATTAAAATGCATTTATTTATTTAATAGTGACGATGCAATTCAACATATTTTCAATACCTAACTTATGTAGACCCATCTGAAGTCCCATGCACGTGTGAATTATACTTTATTTACATTCATTACAGGCCAGATGGCAGTGGGATCCAGGTCAGCCTGACCTGCAGTGACTCAGCACTGACCCCTAGTGTCCAGATTCTGTTACGACACAATGCTCCCAGCCTGTCCCTCAGCATCCTCAAGTTAGAAAAGGTGAAGCAGAAAAATCAGTGTGACTTTAAGAATGTTAAGATATTCAGACAATGTTTTCATTTTGAGATCAGTTTCCATATTTTTTCCTGGAAATGATATCTTGAAATGTTAATTAAAAAACACGATAGTTTTTTTTTTTTTTTGTCTATAAAATGGAAACAAAGCTCTGAATTGATTCTTTGGATTTCACACACATCATTCGATGACAGTTCACTTTCTACCTTTCCCTCCCTGCAGCCCCCTCTTCCGGGTCACGGCCAGGGGCGACTGAGTGTTTTAGACCAGCCTGTTACCGTGGCGACAGCAATCCAGAAAATGAAATCCCACCTGGGTTTGAGTCACCTCCGTTTGGCTCTTGGATCCGGTCAGACGCTTGGTAAAAAACTCTAATACGAGCAGCAGTTAACTGATGAAGTGTTCTGAATGTGAAGGATGTGAACACTCAGCTGTCAGTCAGGCAGGTGTCATTATTGAGCCCCAATTCTGTATCAAATCAGCTGGCAGTACAAAAAGACATTCAACAAACAACTTGTATCCGGTCAAAATGCTCCAGCAACACTTGTAGTAAGAAGATCAACTTTATTAACAATTTAGACCGACGCGTTTCAGCACGTGGCCTTCAGCAGGGTCATCGATCTGATCTAAAATTCACATATAACTTGTATCACTCAGGCAGAACACATTCGGAGAGTTAACATAATAAATCATGGAGGCGAATATCTCAAACCCTCAGTAGAGAAAGTCTAAATATGTGAAAAATGTTTAAATCTCATAGTTCTGGGTGCCATAAAAGTGTAATATAATTATTTGGTCATAGGATGTAAATGTGGGTTCTTAAGACTGGGGCTGCGATTACTTGTTTAACCAATACATTTCCAACTGTCTTGAAAATGTATTCATGTTTCCATCATCTTTAAAGTACAAATGTGTCACACTTTGGGTTTCTAGCTTCTGAAATGTAAGGATTCTTTCCTTATCTTTCATATAAGCCGACGAAGAGAGTTTGAGTTTGGGATTTTTGAAGGACAAAAGAAGCTATTTGAAGGTTTCTGCTTGAGATCAGGGATATTGTAAAGAACCTTTTTTTTTTTGCATTTGTTCGACCCATTATCGACTATAATTGTAGATTAATTCAAAACTAAAAGATGAACTAATCAAACAATAAAAGTCAGTCATTCTTCTTCTGTTTTTCAGAGTCGTCTGTTAGCACGGTGGCTGTGTGTGCGGGATCAGGAGCCTCAGTGCTGAGCGGAGTCAAGGCTGACCTTTACATCACAGGTAGACATTTCATCTGTTCATTTCATTTCATCTATTAACCTGAGTTTGCCACGCCTGCAGATGTTAAAGTTGTGTCTTTTTGTTCAGGTGAAATGTCCCACCATGAAGTGCTGGATGCTGCCGCGATGGGAACAAGCGTCATCCTCAGCGATCACAGCAACAGCGAGCGGGGCTATCTGGCTGTGTTCAGGGAGAGGCTGGCTGTGCGTCTTCCTGAGGGGGTGACGGTGGTCGTGTCCAAGGTGGACCGAGACCCTCTGGAGGTGGTCTGACTGATGTGGAGCTACAGTTGAAGTGGTGTGTCTGTCGGGAAAAAAACTTTCACAGGGTTTAGAGGGATGAAATTGACCACGTAATAAAAAAGGAAACACTGATTTCTAAGCTACAAAATGTCCTTAAAAAAGCGGCTTTGTAAACCATAATTTCAAATTGAATGATGTAAATGTTCTTCTAGTACTTCTAGTACTATATGTTATGTATTTATGACATGGTTATTAAAATTAGTTCTGGCTGATGGATAAAATCCACCTCGTTGTGTTTGATCAGCCAAAATATCCCCATGCCAAACCAAAGATTACGCTTGTAATCTGCTTGCATATGTTCTGCATACAGAGGGTTAAATTAGGCTAAAATCTAAGTTTGTTTTTACGCTCATCATAAGTGACTTCTAGTGCTTCCTTTCCATTTAGAAAAAGTCCAGAAATTTCCCCAAATAGTCAAAGAGTGTGAACAAAACAAAAAGTCAAATTGAAAGTCGGAACAATCCTTTTCTAATCCTTCCTGTTTGTCTCTAACAGTCAGATCTAAGCTGAGCAGACCATGACGATGTAAAGAATTTTTTTTAAATAAATTCTTTGTTCTTGAATACCCTGCCCTTTAGACCTCAGTGAGAAAACAGGTGAATATCAAACCACTTGGCACATGTATGTCAAAGAGCAGACCCATCTGATGGTAAACGCTCTGTAAACACAACACACGACCCCGCCCCCACGCTGGTAATGTAAGGAAGAGAAAAAAAAAAACACAACAAGTAACAATCCTCATCACAGGCTGTAATAGAGTCTGCTGCGACACACCTGTTTGCTCGTAAAAACATTAAGAGACGTCGAACACACCTCGCTGCCCCCATCAAGGTAATGACCTCTCTCTCAGCGGGGCGTTGACACCTACGTTTCCTCTCGATCCACGCTCACTTTTATCCCTCAGCCAACACACACACACACAAATGGAGAAGGAAAACAACAACTAGAACAACATTTCTGCTTGTAAAGGGACTCCAGCTGTCTCTCTTTAAAGGCAGAAACATCCTGAGCAGGTTGATCGAGAAAGGATTTCTTCTTATTTTCCAAAAAAAACGATCTTCACATTAAATTCCCACATTCCCACGCAAGTTTTTTTATTTTAACCTCTGATGTAACAGTAATCTCCTGCTGGTTTGTTTATAAAAGCATCAGATTAAGCTCCCATGAGGATTATTTTTGAGGTCTTCACTTCAAGAAATTCAAGTTAAAGCAACAACAGTAGAGTAGGGAAGTAAACTGCCACAAATTAAAGTGTGACCAGTTTGCATCCAATAAAGCAGTGGTACTCAACTGGTGGGATGGGACCCAAAAGTGGGTCGTGAAAAATGTGACTGAAAAAACAGAAGTGCCTAAAAGTCTATGAAGCGCTGTAAAAACATGTTGGTTTTGTTCCTTCTCCTTGTTCTGTTGCGTGTTTCGTACCATCCGAGGTCCACACTGCACTCATTTTTTCATTCAATACATATGATTGGTTGAAAAAAACATCAGAAATTTGGGTCACGGTTTTCATGAAGCAGTCGGTGGTAGGCTAGACCAGTTGAGAACCACTGCATTGAAGTGTATATTCTTAAACCAGATCACATTTTGATCTTTTCACATCTAGTGTTTGAAGTTCATTCACGTCACTACATACAAAACACATGCTCAATCTATAAGATACAATAAATGAGTCTGATGTTTATTGGGGTAAATTAAATCAAAGCCAAAGTAACAAACACAAATGAGCACACATGATCCCACCAGTGCACGCTAACCAATCAGTAGGCCACAGTCCAATAAAAAAAGGAAATACATTAGTTTTCTGATGGTTGACCACAGCTCATACCGACTAACTGTCTGTTTACCATCAAGGGTATTTGTCTGTGTGGTCCACATTCAGGGTTTTATTGTGTTTTCACGAGAAATCCTGTCTGCTCAGAACATTTCCTTCCCAGCACAGCAAAATCTGCACCTACTCAATAGAGCCATCAGTCTTAATAAATAGTGCCACATATTAGAGAAGATGCTCGCCCACCATCAGCTGTCATATAGATATTTGAATCCAAACTTCTTATAGAAACCTTTAGACATTCATGTTTGTGTTGTGGCCATATTGCAGCCGTTGGCCAAACTGTCTTCCTCTTCCACCTTCATTGAAGGCTGACTCCCTGCAGAGAGGCTAAACAGGCCGACTGCTGAGAGGAAGAAACATGTCATCAAACTGTCAAACAGCCACAGGGGACCTGCCAGTAAACCGCTACGTATCTGTGTGTGTGTGTGTGTGTGTGTGTGTGTGTGTGTGTGTGTGTGTGTGTGTGTGTGTGTGTGTGTGTGTGTGTGTGTGTGTGTGTGTGTGTGTGTGTGTGTGTGTGTGTGTGAGGGAGCAGAAATAAGAATGTAATTTTAGGAATCTGTAGGTAACACGTACAACAGAAGTTTTTTTTTTTTTATCAACCACGCACACACTCCAACACTGTTACTAATGGCAGTTGCATGAGAGCTGGTTTTTCCTGACATACTATGACGGAGGAATTATTTATATTGTTATCTTCACTTCATCTGTATAAGTATTTATGTGTAGGCTTCATTTGAAGCTAAACTTTGGCACTGTTAGTTTAGGCTGAGGACTTTGTTCTACGGTGTGTAGGTTGTGTATGTTAACTGACAGCAACATATCATGTTCAGCAGGTTTTTTATGAAGTATGCAAAGTTTGAAGTATTTTCAACCACAGCTGTTCAAAGATAGTAGTAAAGCTGCTCCTGAGACAGAGTGGAAGATAATGCAGAAGCTACGTCAAATGGAAATAGGAAAGAATGGTACAAATAAGATTCTGAATAAGGCCCCTATCCCAAGCTATACTGACATAAATCAACACAAACCACATACGTTTTCTTCAATTTGACCCTACATATTTCTTAAATCAACTCAGTTTTTTTGTGTTTGTCGAGCAGGGACAGAAGGGAAGATGGGGGCAGTGTGTGGGGACCCAGCAGCCATTTGGCCTTAGGTGTGAAGCTCCACACACACCTATTTAACAGAGCCAGTCACCGCTGTGTGCATTTGAAGCAAAGTACAGCACAGAGGTAGGAACAAAGTAAAGACCAGGAGCAGAACATTTTTAAAAAAGGAAAGGTCTCCAGTAGAACAGAAGGATTGCTGATTTGTGAAAGGATACAGAGAAGGAGTCAGCAGGAGCTGAGGACTGAAATGTCAGTTTGAAGAGGACGAGTAGACAGACTAACACGGACAAGGAAAATGCTGAGCCTGGAGATGTACCCCAGTTTGAGTCTGGGACCACAAAGGATTGGAGACTGCTTTTTCAGAGGTGAGGGAGAATGTGTGGATGTGCATGCATGCAAGTTTGTGTGTTGACTGGGCGTCTATGGAAAAAAAAGTTGTTCAGCATTTTAAAACTTTTAAAAGTTTTTCAAGTGATCTGAAATGATCTCACAACACTTTCCAACACACACAAAATGTTGTGTATTTTGAATCTGTAAGTTATACATTTATATATATATATATATATATATATGTAGTAGTTTGTTGGCAGCTAAATCTATTTTGAAAGTTTTGAGCACTGATTGGCCCAGTTGTTTAAATGAATCCAGTTATAAAAAGATGCTCTCCACATAGATTTGCCTAATTTTAACCATTCAACACTGAATTTGTTTGTTCTTCCAGAACGGCAGCCTCCAGCACACATGCCTTTGTTCCCCCAAGCCTGCGATGTGAACCCCAAAGCCCTGCCCCCTCGACTTCTGGCTCCTCCCCCTGGACCCAACGAGCCCGCCACAAACACCCCAAAAGAAGAGGTGAAGATGGAGCTGGAGAACGCCAATCTATGGAAACAGTTCAGCTCGGTGGGCACAGAGATGATCATCACAAAGAAGGGCAGGTGAGAGGATATTGTGACTTTGACCCCACCTCTAAGTTATTATCAATCAGATCAACAAGCTGCACTGAGTCAAGGAATCAGACTCAAAAGTGAATTCAACTTCTACTCTCCCTCCTTCTTTCAGACGGATGTTCCCCGGGTTAAGGTTAAAGCTCTCAGGCCTAAACCCCTCTCTCAGATACATCCTGCTCCTGGACATCATCCCTGCAGATAACTCCCGCTACCGTTTCCAAGGTGGCGGCTGGCAGGCTGTGGGTGGGGCCGAGGCGAGGCTACCAGACCGGGTTTTCATCCACCCTGACTCCCCTGCGACGGGTGCTCACTGGCAGGACCGCACCATCTCTTTTCACTACGCCAAGCTGACAAACAACACACTGGACACCCAGGGACATGTAAGGACTGAAGGGGAATCACACAGTAGAAACTATTTCAAAACCGACACTGTTTTTTTTTCTTTGTGGCGAATTTAGATTTAGTTTCAATTCTTTTCATTTCCAGATAATCCTGCACTCGCTGCATCGCTATCAGCCCAGAGTTCATGTCATCGAAGCCAGAGACGTGCTGAGGTGGGGCGGAGGGCAACACTCCTTTGTTTTCCCTGAGACCCAGTTTATCACAGTCACAGCGTACCAGAACAACAAGGTACCACCAAAGAGCATTTACATATAAAGAAAGAAGTTCACATGTAAATGGGCCTTGCTATCGGTGCAGTTCATTTATATTGTGTTTTTGTTGTTGTTTTTTTCAGATCACAGACCTCAAGATCAACGCCAACCCGTTTGCTAAAGGCTTCAGAGAGGACGGCATGAACAGCAAAAAGTAATTCACAACTAATACCTGCGTTAAAAAAAAAATATATTAATATAATATAATATAAAAAAACATATTACGGAGGATTTAAACTTTTTTTCTGTTGGCAGACAAAGAGACGCAAGACAGAAGCGCAAAATATCCGTCTCGTCAGAAACCTTGGATATTGGTGAGCATAATATTCAGATTAACTCTACTTTAAAAAAACAAACAAACAAACAACAGACAGACCTCTTCTCCTCAAATTGCCTCATCCTAAACTATCTCCACCTTTCTGCCTCTCTCTCAGTGAACTGTGATCCATGCGACTCCACTGAGCACCTGCCACAGTCTATAACCTCCACCTCCAGCACCGCAGACCTGCAGGCCCTTGCCCTGGCCTCTCTCCCTCCCCTGCCTGACCCCTCCTGTGGGTTCAGACCAGGCGAAGCAGCGTATCAGGACACTCTGGTCCCTCAGCAGACACTAGACCTCGGCCAGGCGTTCATGGCTTCCCAGATCTCAGACATCGGCCTCTCCATGGCCAGTGGGATGCAGGACACGGCAGGAAGTGAGATGGCAAATAGTATGATTGAAAGGTAGGGGCGGAAAAAAAGAAATACTTAACTCTTGTTCCTAAATATATTGTATATTTTTTTCACTTTTCCAAAGTTTGACTTTACATAGAAACCTTTAGGAAGCTGAAACTAGTGAATATTTGTGTTGAATAAATTCAAGTTATTGTGCATACATTTTTTCATCTACAGCACTGATATCTTATTTTTTTATTTCCCCCCCCCTCCACAGATCAGACACTCTGGGTGAACCAGCTTACACCTCCACGTTCCCTGCACCCGAGGCCAACTCCTCCTCTTTCCCCTCAGCTCCTCTCCCCCCACCATCCTCCACCTTCTCCTCCCTCTCCGTTTCTGACATTTCTGATACATCTAATCCTCATCCTTCCATCCCTTCCATGGACTATCCCTCCATCCTCTCCTCATCCCCCATTCTCTCCTCCTCGTCCACCACCACTACTCCCTCACTTCAGCAGACCACTTTCACCTTCCCGACCCCGCCTCCTTCTAACTCCTCCTCTCCACAGCCGCTCCTGTGCTCCTCATCCTCCTCCCCAGCTGCCAACACCTATCACACCATCCCAGAGACAATCAGCCCACACACGCCTACGGACGACTCTTTTTCTGCTCCGTCTGGTCTGCAGGATCAAATATCAGCTCATCTAAATAACTCACCCAGCGATCACAGCTCAGCAGCTTTTATCTATCCTAATAGCCTTCCTGCAAATCCCGATCCTGCTCCAGTTACTTTTCCGCCCTTCTTCAATCAAAACCACCATCCTCTTCCCACTCTGCCTTGCTCCTTTCCCCCTCACGGCGCCCCCACGTCTTTCCCCCTACCCTCTGTCCCTTCACACATGCAAAACCTAGCGTTCCCAAACATGCACCAAAACTCTGCCCACCCTGCCCTGCACCTCCAGAACCAAGCACCCTCCCTTGCTCCTGCCTTTACTCCCTCAACATTCACACACCAACCATCCTCCCTCCCTCACCCTCCTTTCCAACCCTCCTCCTGCTTTGCTGTCTCCTCCTCTTTCCAGCAGTCTGCTGCCTCTGCTCCCTCGGCACATCCTCAAAACCTGCACAACCCCCCTCCTTCCTCCTCCACCACCTCCTCCTCCTACCCTCCACTTGAAAGAGGTGCCATCCCTCAGTTCAATCCTGTTGCACCTTACCGCCCAGATATGGTGCTGCACCACCCGTCTCTTCTCCCCAGCTGGATCCATCGCATCCCTCCAGCATGCCCTCCTCTAACCCACCTCAGGCCCTCTACCATTCCTTTCCGTCCTATCCTCTCCGGCTCCGTCAGGACCCTCACTCGTCCCTCTCCATCCCGTTCAGGCATCTGTACAGACAGCACCAGCATGGCCACCCACACCCCCAAGGGTCCTACCTTGATATGAGCACAAGAGCTGTGTTTTGAAAAGCCTAATGTGGACAGAATGATTTGGTTTAATAGCGCTTTTATGACCCTTTTTTTTTTTTAACAATTTGTAGCATTAGTTCAAGTAGTCCAGTGTACTACCAGTGTGTGTGTTTGTGTGTGTTCCCAACAATTCAGGTGATGAACTGATTAATGAAATTGATTTAAATGTGTAAATAGCTGTATTTTCTTTTCAATTATCCATTCCAGTGTGAAAAATAAAAAAAATGTAATTTGTGATTCAAATCTTTTGTTATACAGTCTTCTCTGGTTTCACAGCCATCTTTTCAACCACTATCAAAGTGTTCTGTTTTACACAGTTGGGTATTTTATGAATTTGATTGATTTGCACGTATGTATCTTGCTGAGTGTTAAATAGATAGTTATATACGACTCTCATGTTTTGATTCTAACTACAAAGCTAGTTCAACAGAACGGTTCAGACAGAACTTTACACAGATTCTGATACTAACAAAAATGCGGGTATGATTTTTTTCATCAAAATTTCAGTCAGGTCGCAGGTCAACATTGTTTCATCCAATTTGAGTCAGGCCAGGGGTCGACATTTTTTGCTCAAAATTTGCGTCAGGTCAAGGATCCGCATTTTTTCTTAAAATCTGAGTCAGGACGGGGGTCATCATTTTTTCATTCAAATTTGATAAGGGATGCATGTCAATATTTTTTCATCAAAATCATAATTTTTGTTCCTTTAATATCAGGACATTAGGGTAGTTCAAAAATCAACTCCAATGGGAGACACCCAGATCAACAGTGGATCGCCTCCTGTCCTGAAATGAAAAGAACAACCCCCCAAAAAGAGCATGCACTTATATTACAGGCTTCATGGTGCAGATATTTCACATTTCTTAATCAAGCTACTATAAATTGATCTTAACATTATTTGTGACATATTTTAACAAAGTTTTATAATTGCCTTCAACCTTCCTTCATTGCTAAATGATAACTTGTATATCTTGGGCCCTGAAGTTTTTTATTGCTGAAAATGACAGCATCGATTCTTCTTTGTAAAAAACTTCTGTGATTTTTTTTTTTCATACTTGCCAGTGTACTAAGGGTTTGAGTGTCCTTAATGTCAGACGGATGTCAGTTTGTTTGGTCAAAAATACACAACAAGGATGACAGCAGACGGGAGTTAATCATTTCCTCATCTTGTTACTTTGTTTGGTCTTTTTAGAGAAAATATGTGTGGACTCAAGCTTCTCAGTAGCCTATTGACCTCTTCAAAGCTTTTTTTTTTAATGAATCACTGTGTTGTCTTTTCTTAAGAGTTTTTGTGGTCTATTTGTTCATTCAAAAGGGGCAACAAACAAATACCCAACAATGTGAAATTAAGTCAAGAGGCTTTTTTATATTTGACAGGATTTAAGATTTAAATTACAAAAGTATTGTTCTTAGCATAAAAAAAAAAAAAAAAAATGAATTTGGAAAACAATCCTGTAGACATTTTTATCTGCATTTTTGGTACAGTTTTAAATATTTAACATAGATTCACATATTAGACAAACATTATCGGGGAAATTAATGCTATACTTATAAACAGAGTTGAACACTGATACATGTCTTTGACCCACTTTGGACTACCATCTCAAACCCCCTGAGAAACATACAAAGTTAGTATTTGATGGGTGTCAGAACACTAGTGGGTTCATGCTAAGGGTCAACTTGATGTTTACTCAAATTTCCAAGTAGTCACTTATTAACAGGCGAGAGAGTCAAAAGAGGACGAATTGAACAGGTCCACACTTGAGAGCTCACCTGCTTCGCTGTGTTTTATCATCTGAGCTTTTCCTGAATACATACTCTGAGAAGGCGGGTAAGTTCAGGCTCGTTTGTTTCTGTAGGAGGACACTCACTCGCGTATTATTAAAAGTGTGATAACTTCATTGCTGTAAGAGCCGATCAGACCATTCAATTAGGAAAAGAAGCAACTTGTGTTCTTACTGCAGAATCCACAATGTGTTCATTATATCTGTTTTTAGTTTTCTAGATCGATAAATTATACTATACTATACTATAGTATGTAGTATATTATACTACTATTACTATATTATATTTGTGTTATATAAGCACTGTCAGAGGGAACTCATTTTGGGGGAGTATACTGGAAGTAAAGAAGCAGAAAAGTTTTCAACTCTACCTTTGCTTGACAATCTTTTTATACGTATCTAGTTGGATCTGCTTATGCTTCTTTATTTAAGAGATTTTTTGCACAATTTTTTGCATCTTTTTTTCTTTCTTTTTAGATTGACAGTAAGCACCATGCAGTTATCGGTCGTTTACTGCATTAACACCACTGACATCTTTACCGGCTGCGCTTCCAACAGAGTCTGACATGAGAGGGACTTTAATTACTGTAACATTCAGCGTCTTTTCCACAAACACTCCCACTCCTTAAGACTCCAGGAACAAGCCGAATCGGTGAGACAAAACCACACATTTTGCAGGGACGATGCTTTACTCTCGTTTGCGTCCTTTACTCCCTCGCCTCATGCCGCTGAGGATGACCAGCACTGAGGCCTGCACGACGATGAAGGTCAAACAGCTTAACCTCCTCGAAGAGACTCTGGCCTTTGAGGATCCCAAAGCTTTCAGGGTGAAGCGTTTTGGTGAGCTGCTGCGAGCTCTGGGTGTCTTTCACCTCTGTTCCTTCCCTGTACTGGTTAACAACTGTGGGAAGGTAAGATTAAGCTGAATGAAAATGAGAAAAAGAAGAGTTAAGGTCAAATCAGAGAAAACCTTCATCGCTCTTCTGTCTGCTTCTCCTTCTTCCTCTCTTCTCAAAGCTCATGATGATATCTCGTACCATCCTGGGGAGGAGGGGGTTCTCCATGCTCCTAAGGCCCACTGTGTACGCCCAGTTTGTGGCGGGAGAGAATGAGAGCGAGATCTCTCAATCCATGGAGAAGATGAATCTGCTGGGACTGAGGCCCATGCTGGCAGTGCCCATCGAGGAGGATCTGGGAGAAAGCACAGGGTGAGACAAACTCAGCTCACATTGCTCTCTATTTGTTGATTTAAAAAAAAAGGAGGACCAGAATTGAGTCCAAGGGTTATAAAAGAAAGGGCTTTTATGGGGAATGTCGCCGTCCTAAAGCGAGATGCTTTTTGCACATTAAAAGAAGAACTCAAGCGAAGCTCACTTCTGCTTTGTGTCACCACTAGAGAGAAGAGATATGACGACAACATGGAGGCCATGTTGGAATGTGTGCGAATGTCTCACAGCAATGCCTGGAGTAAAGACCCCATGATGCAGCTGAAGATCACAGCCCTGCTCAGCCCGGACCTGTGTGTAAGACCACCATAGACTTTATATAGGAAGCCACTGTAACATCACCCGTTAGTTTGATTACTACCGTTATGAAGCCCTTAAAGTAAAGGAACAGGATTTGGTGTAATTCCAAGTAATGAAAATAACATTGTTGTCTCCCAAAAAATGAAAACTGTCTCCCTCTTTGTAATTGAACTTTTAACCTCGACGGTATCTTAAATTAGTTCAAATTTGTGGGAAAAAAGATAAGAGCACACGTTTCAGTATTTGGTGTACCAACAGATGTTCCAGGTAGTTTTTAACCCCCCGCCATCTAATATATTAAAGTGTCGACTCTTTATTTTCATGAAGTGTACACTTTGTTTATAACTTCCCACTGATAAGTATTTGCTGTTTACATCAAGGTGAAACTGACAACCATCATCACACAGCAACCATATGACTTGGATCTTGTTGTCAAGGCAATGGACGGAGAGGTGTGTCCAAAACACATGAAGATAACCTAGTTTGTTTGGATGTCTTTCATTTCCCCACGTCAGTACACATACACTTGAAGTTTCTGTTTGATGACTTCTGACCTTTGCATAAACTTTTAATCTTTCAGCCAGTTGACTTCCCTGGTTTAGATGAACGTGAAGCTGCTCATTTTCTCTGTGGCCTGCATCGACTCAACAAAATAGCTGAGGTATTACAGATGTGAAAAATGACAGGAACATTAGCCTGAAGAGTCTGAAGTATCCAAAACAAATGACTCATTATCAGAAAAATAAACATTATATTTTGTTTGTGTGTTTGTTAGGCAAGTGTAAACAAAGTGCGAGTCCTCGTAGATGCAGAATACACCTACATGAACCCCGCTCTCTCGCTTGTTACCATGGCGATGATGAAGAAGTTTAACAAAGATGGCGTCTGGATTTGGAACACATATCAGTGTTACCTGAAGGCAAATATAAAAACAATTACCTCTATTTACTGCATTTAATACCGGACTAAAAGAGACTTTATGAGACTCTCTCCTCTCGTGTCTGTGACTTTCAGGAGTCTCGATCTCTCCTGTTGGGAGCTCTGCAAATCTCCAAGGAGGAGGGTTTCTGTCTGGGGGTCAAGCTGGTCCGAGGAGCCTACATGGACAAAGAGAGGAAGCTGGCAGAGAAAGAGAGTCAACTGGACCCCATCCACAACTGTTGGGAGGACACCAATGTCAGGTGCGTGACAGGCAGTGTTTTTTAATTACAACCAAGTAAATGAATACAATGATTGAAGAACATTAAACTATATTTTAGTGATTGGGTTACATTTTTATCAAAGAAACAGGGATTAATCTTGTAAAGTTTTTTACGTGGATTGAATCTACTAAAGTGCACTAATTCATTGGTGGATTAACCCTCATGAACATAGAACAAAACAGTGCTTGTGTTTGTGCAGCTATAACGGCTCACTTGACGTGATGCTGAAGGCCATATCCCAGAAGCCTGAGCGCTACAGGATCATAGTGGCCACTCACAACGAGGAGTCAGTGAGAAAGGCTGCGAAAAGGTTTGATTCAAGCCCAAACTTTACTTGTTCATGTTTTTGTTTTATCAGATGTAAAAAAAATAAAAAATAAAATAAAAAAATTTCAATTTTCAATTCTCAGGGGCATCTTTTGTTATTGGCCCAAGATTGGCGTCTAGTCCCGTGTCTTGTTACTTCTTAAACATTATGTGGCTCTTTTTGTCTATCATGGCTAGGATGGAAGAGTTGGGGATAGACAAAGATGGAGGCTCAGTGTGTTTTGGCCAGCTGCTGGGAATGTGTGATCATGTCTCCCTCACTCTGGGTGAGCTTTAGCCTCAGTGGGCATTCTTTACATTTACAAATTATTTGCAAAAAAAACTGTACTACTACCTATAATTGCATTACAGTTGATTAATGGGGTCTTAGTTACATGTATTTGTGTTATTTCACTTTATGTACGTTTACTCCTCTGACATGTTTTATTGTCTCTCCAGCTAAGGAGGGCTATGCCGTCTATAAGTCGGTGCCATACGGCTCAGTGGATGACACGCTGCCCTACCTGGTACGTCGGGCTCAGGAGAATCGCACAGTGCTGCAGGGAATCCGCAAAGAGAGAGACCTGCTGAGGAAAGAATTCTACAGGAGGATGAGTCTGAGGGGAGGGAAATAAAAGGCAGTCAAACAAGAGTGGAAAGTTTGTTGTGAGTGAGCGTAAACTGCTGCTGGACCATTCAACCCCTTGTATGATGGCTACCAACAGAATAAGAACATGTATGGCAGCCCAGAACATCTATAAGGATATCTTCAAACAAGAAATATTGTTCTGATATTACAGTTGATTAAATGTACATGTCATCCTGAACAAGCTAGAGAGGATTTCTCAAGATAGATAATTTATCTCTAGATCACAGGAGAGCCTGATTATGGAGAACTCAAAAACTCAGAAATTGAGTAATTCTCTAGATTACAGGGTTGGGTTCTCAAAATCACAGAATCAAAATTGAGTTGAAGTACCAGAAACTTTTGTCTCCTGAACACACCAGAACAGAAAGAATATCGGAGATTTTAAAGCTTATATTGACTGATGTATTAAATCAAGCAGGAAACATGCATGGGTTAGGTACATCTATATTTCTGTGTAAGAGAAACTGAAGAGGAATTTGCTGACATTACATTGTACGATTGATTTCCCATTAGTTGTCATAAATTAAGTTTCCTCTGAGCTGCTTTAAGAGAATCATGACTGTTGCCTCATTGGTTTGATATCTTTGCACAAAGTATGCCCAACTGACACATGCAGCATATTCATATTCAGCATTTTGATCTCTTCAAAGATCTTCCTCATACATTCTTTAACTCTGCCTTCCTCTTACTACCATAAACACACCTGAAACTTTTTTCCATGTCTTGTTCTACCTGAAGAGCCAGTGTAATCAAGGATCTATTTACAGCTCATACAACTTGACTCCAAAGAGCATTTCCCTGCATTGTTCAGTGTTCAGAATGCACTCACTCCTGTTGATTTCCTTGAATTAAAAGAAAGTTCTTTCAGCCTGTTTTCAGTCTTTTAATGAAATGCGGGAGCTGTATTCATCCATAAACGTTTGTTCCCACCAGCAGCTTTTCATTTTTGATGCCAAGACAACAGAGTATTCTGAATATAAAACCAGTGTTTATTATAGATTTTCTTTGTTGTTGCTTTTATTAAGCCCCACAACTTTAAACACTTACCGCTCTACTTTTACAAGAAATCTTTTCATTTAGGCTTTTGGCATTTAAATTCAATTTGTCCTGTTCACAAAAGATAGTATACTTTCACCCATGTGTTGTACTAAATGTGGAACTTCCTAAACAAAACAAAACTCCCCCATAAATGCTTGATCAAGAACAAGATTGATAGTTCACTTAACACTCCTGACACCACACGACCTGACAAAGGTGATCATTCACTAGACCAGGGTTCTGCAAGAACGAGAAGGTGGGGGTTATGGTCTTCATTTTTTTGGTCTTTTCTTTAATTTATAAACAAACTATTAAAAGTGTTGAAAATAAAACTCAGAACACACTGTTTATGATCGTTTATTGGATAAGTATAAGTCAACTATACTTAACATGTTTCTTGACTGTACTGCTGAAAGCCAGTCACATTGCAAAATTTTCTATTGTCAATAATAACCTTAAAACTCTTCACTTCTGCTTTGTGTCACCACTAGAGAGAAGAGATATGACGACAACATGGAGGCCATGTTGGAATGTGTGCGAATGTCTCACAGCAATGCCTGGAGTAAAGACCCCATGATGCAGCTGAAGATCACAGCCCTGCTCAGCCCGGACCTGTGTGTAAGACCACCATAGACTTTATATAGGAAGCCACTGTAACATCACCCGTTAGTTTGATTACTACCGTTATGAAGCCCTTAAAGTAAAGGAACAGGATTTGGTGTAATTCCAAGTAATGAAAATAACATTGTTGTCTCCCAAAAAATGAAAACTGTCTCCCTCTTTGTAATTGAACTTTTAACCTCGACGGTATCTTAAATTAGTTCAAATTTGTGGGAAAAAAGATAAGAGCACACGTTTCAGTATTTGGTGTACCAACAGATGTTCCAGGTAGTTTTTAACCCCCCACGCCATCTAATATATTAAAGTGTCGACTCTTTATTTTCATGAAGTGTACACTTTGTTTATAACTTCCCACTGATAAGTATTTGCTGTTTACATCAAGGTGAAACTGACAACCATCATCACACAGCAACCATATGACTTGGATCTTGTTGTCAAGGCAATGGACGGAGAGGTGTGTCCAAAACACATGAAGATAACCTAGTTTGTTTGGATGTCTTTCATTTCCCCACGTCAGTACACATACACTTGAAGTTTCTGTTTGATGACTTCTGACCTTTGCATAAACTTTTAATCTTTCAGCCAGTTGACTTCCCTGGTTTAGATGAACGTGAAGCTGCTCATTTTCTCTGTGGCCTGCATCGACTCAACAAAATAGCTGAGGTATTACAGATGTGAAAAATGACAGGAACATTAGCCTGAAGAGTCTGAAGTATCCAAAACAAATGACTCATTATCAGAAAAATAAACATTATATTTTGTTTGTGTGTTTGTTAGGCAAGTGTAAACAAAGTGCGAGTCCTCGTAGATGCAGAATACACCTACATGAACCCCGCTCTCTCGCTTGTTACCATGGCGATGATGAAGAAGTTTAACAAAGATGGCGTCTGGATTTGGAACACATATCAGTGTTACCTGAAGGCAAATATAAAAACAATTACCTCTATTTACTGCATTTAATACCGGACTAAAAGAGACTTTATGAGACTCTCTCCTCTCGTGTCTGTGACTTTCAGGAGTCTCGATCTCTCCTGTTGGGAGCTCTGCAAATCTCCAAGGAGGAGGGTTTCTGTCTGGGGGTCAAGCTGGTCCGAGGAGCCTACATGGACAAAGAGAGGAAGCTGGCAGAGAAAGAGAGTCAACTGGACCCCATCCACAACTGTTGGGAGGACACCAATGTCAGGTGCGTGACAGGCAGTGTTTTTTAATTACAACCAAGTAAATGAATACAATGATTGAAGAACATTAAACTATATTTTAGTGATTGGGTTACATTTTTATCAAAGAAACAGGGATTAATCTTGTAAAGTTTTTTACGTGGATTGAATCTACTAAAGTGCACTAATTCTTTGGTGGATTAACCCTCATGAACATAGAACAAAACAGTGCTTGTGTTTGTGCAGCTATAACGGCTCACTTGACGTGATGCTGAAGGCCATATCCCAGAAGCCTGAGCGCTACAGGATCATAGTGGCCACTCACAACGAGGAGTCAGTGAGAAAGGCTGCGAAAAGGTTTGATTCAAGCCCAAACTTTACTTGTTCATGTTTTTGTTTTATCAGATGTAAAAAAAATAATTAAATTTTCAATTCTCAGGGGCATCTTTTGTTATTGGCCCAAGATTGGCGTCTAGTCCCGTGTCTTGTTACTTCTTAAACATTATGTGGCTCTTTTTGTCTATCATGGCTAGAATGGAAGAGTTGGGGATAGACAAAGATGGAGGCTCAGTGTGTTTTGGCCAGCTGCTGGGAATGTGTGATCATGTCTCCCTCACGCTGGGTGAGCTTTAGCCTCAGTGGGCATTCTTTACATTTACAAATGATTTGCAAAAAAACTGTACTACTACCTATAATTGCATTACAGTTTATTAATGGGGTCTTAGTTACATGTATTTGTGTTATTTCACTTTATGTACGTTTACTCCTCTGACATGTTTTATTGTCTCTCCAGCTAAGGAGGGCTATGCCGTCTATAAGTCGGTGCCATACGGCTCAGTGGATGACACGCTGCCCTACCTGGTACGTCGGGCTCAGGAGAATCGCACAGTGCTGCAGGGAATCCGCAAAGAGAGAGACCTGCTGAGGAAAGAATTCTACAGGAGGATGAGTCTGAGGGGAGGGAAATAAAAGGCAGTCAAACAAGAGTGGAAAGTTTGTTGTGAGTGAGCGTAAACTGCTGCTGGACCATTCAACCCCTTGTATGATGGCTACCAACAGAATAAGAACATGTATGGCAGCCCAGAACATCTATAAGGATATCTTCAAACAAGAAATATTGTTCTGATATTACAGTTGATTAAATGTACATGTCATCCTGAACAAGCTAGAGAGGATTTCTCAAGATAGATAATTTATCTCTAGATCACAGGAGAGCCTGATTATGGAGAACTCAAAAACTCAGAAATTGAGTAATTCTCTAGATTACAGGGTTGGGTTCTCAAAATCACAGAATCAAAATTGAGTTGAAGTACCAGAAACTTTTGTCTCCTGAACACACCAGAACAGAAAGAATATCGGAGATTTTAAAGCTTATATTGACTGATGTATTAAATCAAGCAGGAAACATGCATGGGTTAGGTACATCTATATTTCTGTGCAAGAGAAACTGAAGAGGAATTTGCTGACATTGCATTGTACGATTGATTTCCCATTAGTTGTCATAAATTAAGTTTCCTCTGAGCTGCTTTAAGAGAATCATGACTGTTGCCTCATTGGTTTGATATCTTTGCACAAAGTATGCCCAACTGACACATGCAGCATATTCATATTCAGCATTTTGATCTCTTCAAAGATCTTCCTCATACATTCTTTAACTCTGCCTTCCTCTTACTACCATAAACACACCTGAAACTTTTTTCCATGTCTTGTTCTACCTGAAGAGCCAGTGTAATCAAGGATCTATTTACAGCTCATACAACTTGACTCCAAAGAGCATTTCCCTGCATTGTTCAGTGTTCAGAATGCACTCACTCCTGTTGATTTCCTTGAATTAAAAGAAAGTTCTTTCAGCCTGTTTTCAGTCTTTTAATGAAATGCGGGAGCTGTATTCATCCATAAACGTTTGTTCCCACCAGCAGCTTTTCATTTTTGATGCCAAGACAACAGAGTATTCTGAATATAAAACCAGTGTTTATTATAGATTTTCTTTGTTGTTGCTTTTATTAATCAATTTATTAACACTTACCGCTCTACTTTTACAAGAAATCTTTTCATTTAGGCTTTTGGCATTTAAATTCAATTTGTCCTGTTCACAAAAGATAGCATACTTTCACCCATGTGTTGTACTAAATGTGGAACTTCCTAAACAAAACAAAACTCCCCCATAAATGCTTGATCAAGAACAAGATTGATAGTTCACTTAACACTCCTGACGCCACACGACCTGACAAAGGTGATCATTCACTAGACCAGGGTTCTGCAAGAATGAGGAGGTGGGGGTTATGGTCTTCATTTTTTTGGTCTTTTGTTTAATTTATATACAAACTAATAAAAGTGTTGAAAATAAAACTCAGAACACACTGTTTATGATCGTTTATTGGATAAGTATAAGTCAACTATACTTAACATGTTTCTTGACTGTACTGCTGAAAGCCAGTCACATTGCAAAATTTTCTATTGTCAATAATAACCTTAAAACTCTTCACTTACTGAAACACCACACTTGCAGTTACAGTGCTGATGGGCTTGCGCACACACTGCCATAGCATTCAGCTGTTTCAGGATCAGCAGAAAGCAGCTTGGAGTCAAATAAGGAGAGCGGCCAATCACAGAGCACAGGAACACAAGTTGTTACTTTTTGTCATTGTTATGGAATGAAGACTAGTTTCAGGACACGGTAGAGAAATCTCCAGGTTCCTAGCTCAGTAGTTGCCTTGGTTTTGATTTCTGTAGCCGCCTCTCTGGTAGCCCCCTTGGTAGCCCCCTTGGTAGCCACCTTGGTAGCCACCTTGGTGGCCCCCTTGGTAGCCTCCTTGGTGGCCCCCTTGGTATCCTCCTTGGTGGCCCCCTTGGTAGCCTCCTTGGTAGCCCCCTTGGTAGCCCCCCTTATTCTGCTGATAACCACCTTTTTGATCTGGGAACAAAAAGAAAAACATGATCATCACAGAGTATCAACTTTGCAAGCGTTTAATCAGATGAATCAAGCGGCCCCTGGTTTGGTTGAATAACACGACATATGAACTTGTTGTCTTTAGAATGGTATAAGCCTTATCTTTAACTCAGTCAGTCACTGATTATATGCAACCAAACTAATCAGCAACAAAGTTAAAGCAGCTGTGAATGAACAGCAAACAGAATCTGCAGAAGGTCAGAGGGCTGCAGCTGTGGGAAGGTCACCATGTGCTCAGAATATTTCTGGTTCATTCAAAGTGCAGCTTCAGTGTTTTTGAACCTACCTCTCTGGTAGGATTGCTTTTGTTGGTAGCCACCTTTCTGATCTGTAATGTGAGGAACAAACAGTCATCATTGTTTAAACTTTTGATACCAAGAGACATTCCAGGATTAGAAAAATGCAAACCTTAAGTATATGCTGTCTAAACTCACCTCTGTTGAAGTAGCCTCCATAGACGCCCTGTTTGAGGTCAAAGACGCGTTCGTTGTTCTCCACCAAGCTGCCCAGTTTCTCAGCCAGCTGCAGGGCCATGTTCTGCAGGGAGGTGGGCTCTGTGCGGTGCATCACCACCGTCTGTGTGGGCTGGTCGAGTGATGCCTGGTGGAAGAAGAGGAGAGAAAACATTTAGAACAGTTTGGCTGGAAAATACAATCAGGGGAGTAAATTCAATTAGCTGCAGTTGCATCTTCAAATTTGCTCTAAGGGGAAAAGAAGAAGAAGCTGTCACACCAACCATTAACTCCTCATTGATGATCATCTTGCTGATAATGCTGTGAACTGTAGGTATCTCCAACTCAAACATCTCAGACAGGGTCTCCATCCTGGAGGAAGCGCACAAAAAAATACAACATTGTACCATTGATTTCCAGGTAAAAACTCTTAGAATTAGATACAATTAGATACAATTGATAATCTTCTATGGCTTGCATATTTACTAGTAGGTGGAGCTACATCCTAGACTGGAGAAAAATCTGGTCTGAGTGTAAAATTGAGGATTCAACTGTAGACTAAAACAGTCACAAATCAGTGCTGAAGTAGAAACTGCTGCCAGCAGGCTAGAAATTCTTGCATCTTGTGCTCACCTGATGGAGTCGTACACACTGCTGTACGTGAACAGGTAAGTCCTCAACGACTCCTCTTGGATCTTCCTATAAAAGCAAACAATGAGGAAAATATATGAACATTACATATTTGTAAAAAAACAAATTTAACAGACACCACAGAAAATGATCACATCTTAATCTGAAATGATTGATCTACTTGATGCATCTTCAAATTATTCAAATCTACCACGTACAGTTCTTAATAAAACAGCTACTATATAATCGAATCATCGAAGCTAATGCGTATGCTAACCTGACGAGCATCTCCCGTACTCGCTGCGTCTCAGGAAACAGGTCCCAGACTTTACTGTTCATCTTCTCATTGATGATGAACGAGTGGCAGGTACGCCAGTCTCCCATCTTCATGGCCTTGCTGGCTGCCACCACGTGCTCCCTCATGCTCTCTGGGGTCCTGCAGGACAAACGGAGCGTTGAAGTTATCCGCTCTTGATCTCTTTGTACTAAACTGACCTGGTTGAAAAGAGTTAGGAGACTTGTTTCATACCTAGAAGCGGCTGTCTCTCTCCCACCCTGAGCTGGTGGTGGAACTGTTTGCTGATCATCCTGCGGCGGGCATCAAACTCGTGTGCGGCCATGTAGGGGATTTCCAGCAGCATGGCCGACACCAGATACACACACTCCAGCAGCTCCAGGTTGATGTGCATGTGGAAGGGCACCTGTGACAAGAGGTCAAAACAATGTTATGATAGTCATGTTTTAAGTTATTCTTAAACTTAACATCATCCTTTAGAATTTGCTTTCATTCAGCAAAGCTACACTACACCCAGCATCCTTCTATCTGACTCACTTGTCTCCTCTTCTCAATCTTCTCCTGCTCAGCGTTCCTCTCCTGCATGTTCCTCATGAGCAAACCCTGACCCAGCAGCTCCTTGGCACGGCCGGACGACTGGATGTCCAGCAACGCGTTGTGGGCGTCTTTGATCATGCCCTGCCTGAAGGCGCAAATGCCGAGTTGCACCATGGTTCTGTTGTACAGAATCTAGAGAAGACAAGAGGAAATAGTCAGTTAGCATGCATTCAACGCTCTTTGCCTTTTGGGTTATTCTCCGTGCGTTTGCCCACCTGTACGGGCGGGTCGGCGTGCTGGATGTTGTCCTGCAGGTGACTCATCAGCATCAGGTCTCGCGCCTGGTACCAGCGGGAGTGCAGAGCGTGGTGGTAGATGTGGCAGAGGATGGCACAGGTGCGGATGCGGTCAGTGCGATCCTTGGCGTAGATGAACTTGCAGAGGCGGTCCATGATGACGGCGCTGTCCTCCCCCTCACTCTCCTCCTGGTCCTGCTCGGACTAAAGACAGCAGACACACACGATGCAGCACCATCAGAATCCCAGCACAGACAATTCAACTTACTCACTTCTAGATCGACTTCCACTTTAAAACATAGGATTTGCCTTTTTCAAACTAGAACGGGCTCTCTTTTTCTCTGATGCAGACTGCACCACTCCTCTTATCTTACCTTGGTCTCTCCCTGGAGCCCCAGGCTGCGCCGGTGGGCCTTGTAGTCAAACTTGTAGTAGGTGTGCATGATTCTGCGCAGGTAGATGCGGCATATCTCCTCTGTGCTGCCCTTGTTCTCCATGTAGTTGAGCAGCCGGTCGATGATGCCACAAACATGTCCCTCGTCTTTCAGATTGTCCACATATTCTGGAGGAGGAACAGCAAAGGAAGTAATGAGGAAGACGTGTTTCAAGGAGAAAATAATCACACTGCAAATGACTTCCTGCGTAATAAGAGAACACATTTAAAGAGAGGTCTTCAGTGTGTCTTCTGGTAGAGCTCACCTTGCGAGTGGGGATCGGTGTTCTGCATGATCTTGGTAAACTCTTCATCCATCCTTTCTACCAATGTTAAGATACATCCACGAACCCTGAATGGCTGACATGAAAAACAAGCAATACAGAAACTAATGTTTAGTGAAGTGATCTCATCGTCTTTCCAGACACAAAAATGCAGTTTGTGCAGGATGTAACAAACAATTCTATAACATCTGAAGACGTACAAATAATGATGCATCCATAAATGAATCATGAAAAAAAAAGGCCACAACACAGATGACACACGCACGCAGGGATTCAGTTTAGTGATGGTCTGAATGTTGAACAAAGAACAGAGAGGAGAAGATGATCACCTGGTCGGAGACTGCCAGATTCTCACTGTCCTCTGCGATGTTTTCCCCGATGAAGATGTTGTTGTGTTCGAAGAGGATGTCGAGCAGCTCGTCGATGCAGTCCAGACACTTCTTCCACATGTCGGGCTAGAGGGAAACCGAACAAGAATGATAAGTCTGAAAACACCGGGCAGTAAATGATAGATCATGCCGCATTTCCCCGCTGAATATAATCACGCGTAATAAATACTACAGGAATATAAATAACTTGATTGTACCATTGTGTATTTATGTATAATGGGTCTTTATTTTTTCATCTTTCCGCTACAAAATGTTACCACAACATCAATCACGGCATGAAGAAAACAAGATGCTCTTACCTTCATGAACGCCGCCAGGTTGGGGTTGTAGTCGTACAAGGAGGCGACGATGTTAAACTTGATCTTGACCATGATACCTTGACCGAGGTTATTCTCGAGGGCGATGGCTGCCAGAGCGTGGAGCAGCTCAATCTGAGCGGCTCTGGAAAAAGAGAGAAGTCAAAGGAGAGGAGATGAGAACAGAGAAAAACACAACAAACAGATAAGACTTGATCGTGGAATAAGATAAACAATGCTTTAAAAAAAACAAAAAAAAAAACAGATGAGGGGGCTGCTGAGGATTTATTCACTAATGACGACATGAGTATCGCTCAATTGCAAAGCATTTTCTGTGTCATTTGTTTCAGTTTACAACTTACAAAAAATGATAAACATGCGAGAGGGAAAATGTTTTTTAATTAGTTGCTGCTTGCAAATAAATCTACACGATTTGTTCACCGGCCGCCATTTTTAATGACACACGTTGCTAAGTTCAAGACGATCAAAGCATTTTCTTCCCCCATATACAAAATATATATACACGTGATGTTACCTGTCTGTGCCCTTTTTGCCTCTTGCTTGCAGGATCTCGTTCAGCTTCTTCACTACAACAGGAATGTTGATCTCTGTGCCTTTGGCGAACATCTTAGGCTTTTCCTTGCGGAAAGACAATTCACCATTAAATAAATATTCCCAAATTTGTTGATCCATATCACACCAACATCTTTACAGATTTCTCTTTACTATGAGAAACAGACTAATGAGGTTTTTTTTAAGATGCTCATTAGTTTGACTGAATAAGTCTGCTTGTACGGCACAAATATACATTATATGGTTTTCAAACACTGATGTACCGACTACCGTTTCCTTTCATTTCAACAATCATGATAGCAGTCAATCTAAAAAGGAACAATTATCTTTCCAACAGTTCATTACCTTGACCATAGGAGCGCCTCCTTTCACCTTCTCCCAGCCTCCCTCCACCTCCTCTCCTCCCTCCTCCTCGCCCTCTTCCTCCAGCCGCTCTTTCTTCTTGGGCTTCTTTCGCTTCGCCAGCCTCTTCTCGCTCTTATCAGAGTCCTGAGTCCTGACCACAGACAAAGAGTGTGCAGTGGTGAGTAGGAGGGAAACTCTTCTAATCAACAATTAAAGCTTGGTCTTGCTGTTATTTGTATTCATTTATTCTGTCCATAATTAATGGGAAGTTGTTTTGTGAAACCTGTAAATTGTCAAAGTGAGATGAATGTAAGAAGTTCTGTGACGTGCGCCGCTTTAACCAAGGCTAATGTCTTGAGTGATTTCATAATCTCAATGGTACAAGCTTCATGCTCATAACACATATTCAAATAATTAACCCCATCAATTCAAAGCATTCATGAAGTTTTGAGCACTTTTTGTTTGCACGTGTCAAATAAGGAAGTAACCGTCTGTCCTTAAACGACAGAAACTCTGCAGAGGGACACTAACTTCTTGAGGAAGACCAAGGCCAGGGAGGAGCTCTTCTCATCCCCGTCATCCGAGCTCTCGCTCCCGCTGTCGACAGTGTCTGAGCCCCAGTCTTCATTTTCGTCATCGTCACTAGAGGAGGACTCATCCTGTCAAGAGCGAGAAAAACATCAGCACATTGGCTCAGGTTTACCCTCGCACAGTCGTAAAAATAAAAAAATGAATAAAGGTGTTACCCCGGATCCCTTTGCAGACTTGAGGAACTTGCTGGCGTCCGGGGTAGGCTCAGGCTTTTTCTTTAAAAAGGCCTTGGCTGAGACTCCATCCTCTCCCTCTCCATCGCTGTCAGAGGAAGAGCCTGGTGAAAGAAAACAACCAGAATGTGTTTCAGAGATGATGCTAATACATCTTCTATGTTGAATTATTATGCTGTTAACACAAACAGTACTGTACTAAATTCATAGGCCACCACTAAGTATGTAAGGATGTGTGCTTTAAGTCGACTAAATGAAACGTCATCCAGGGTTCCCACTCTTTTCCAGAGATCATTTTCAGCGATGTTCGAGCTGGTATGACAGTCCGTGATCGTGCCACACCAATATTAAGTGTAGTCTTTAACAATGTTAATCACACCCACTGTGAGGTACCGCTTCAAAGGTTAAACATTTACTATCATGTTATGGTCCATTTTTTACCCTTAACAACGCAGTTTGGCATTTGAAGAGACAATGCTAGCAAAGTAAAAGGTTAGGTTAGGTACTCTGCCCGTGTTTGGTTCACACAGTTGAGTACCTATTCATTGTGAAAATTAACCTTTTTTTTTTCCACGTGACAAAGTTATTTTTTCCCAATCTGCAGTTTATAAACATTGCCAATTGGCATTTATCGAACATATGAAATAGTTGTATTTCACTCTCACTTTTGTCAGGCGTAAAGTCATAGCAGAACAGAGCCCTAAGAAAGACCGACTAGAGAGAGAGATTAAGTTCAAGCTCGCACGCCATCAATAACGTTAACTAACTACTGTTAATGTGCTGACCTCAAACTGAGGAGAAAACCCAAGTCTACCTGATGGTGTTTTTTCTCTTTTCATGAAGGATCTCTTCTCTCCATCCTCTCAACTAAATTGTAAATAAATATCGGCTTTTGGCACGAGGGGGAGGCGGAGTGAATGCAAGTCTCCATTATATAGTTTTGTTATACTATAATAATATAATATTATAGTTTGGGGTTTTTTGATCCTTTAACCACTTGTTTGTATTTCTTTTACTGCTCTTACCTTCTTGTTGCTATTATATTTTATCTCTTTTAGTTTCTTAAATATTTTTAAATATTTGCTCCTCTTGGTCTCAGCTCGTGTTGTTGGGTTCTTGTGTTGCCTGGGTCTTATGATGGTTCTTGTGATGGTCAGGTTATATATGTCTGTTGGGTATTGTGCACTTTGGGTTCTTTTCTGTTGAATTGTATTTAATTATTCTTAGTATTTTGCATTTGTTTGTTCTTGCTGTTGTTTATGTTCTTCTGTGTTTGCTTTAGTTTGTTCTTGTTTTTGCTGTTTGTCAAAGCACTTTGTAAACCTGTGTTTTTAAAAAGGTGCTATATAAATAAAGTTATTATTAGTATTATTATCTGTAGACTTCCATTCAATCTGCGTTGTGGATTATGTAACAAATGGATACTTTTATAAACGTGTGCCGGTTGAAAATGTCCAACTCTGGAGGAGAGTGTTGGAATAATTTTCCAGGAAAACACGTGATTGTCCAGGGCATTTGACTTTTTCTGTAATCTTCCAGGTGTTTTCCAGTGCTGGAAAATTACTCGACTGTTTTCCAGGACGAGTGGGAACCATGGTCTCCACCAGAACAACTAGTCAGTTTAACGCAGTGCTTATATTTGTTTATATGTTGGCCTCAATGCTGGTCGAATATCACGTCCAACTTTCAACTTTCACTACCGAATCTACATAGTGCCCCTTTAAATGTAAACAGCAGAGCTCTAGAGAAGATGGAAAAAGTGCTGTGTGGCATTTATTACTCATATTTCCTCATGGGGGACAAAACTTTATGTGTGACTTATTTAGTTGATAAAACTGAATGATAACACTCACTTTGTAAAGGTAATGGTTCTCAAATGTTCTGCCCCTGTTGGCAACCATATATAATACTTATTCAAAATATTTGCCTAACTAATACTTCTTAGAATAGAAATAACTTTTATTTAATAATGTTTGTGATTTTTGCCCGGACATGTATACGGTGCACAGCCCTGAAAGGCTTTTTTTTTTTAAAGCTTTTATTCTGTTCTTGTACATTTTAAATAGTTCTTGTGATTCAACATGTTGATCTGCATTAAGAGCGTGCTTACCAGAATCCCCAGCCTCCTTCTCCTCCTCTTCATCTGCAGACTCCTGTGGGTTCTAGCAAGAGAAAACAGGAGAAAGCGTTTAAGAGTCTACGTTCTGCTTTCTTTCTTGAACGCTGCCCAGTGTGGCTTTGGAGCACTTGCATGTTCAAAAAGTTATTTCATTTTTCTTAACCAGCATTTTTTTTTGGCGTATAACTAAAGCAGAGGACGATGGAGATTAAGGAATCTCGTTTACCTCTTTGTATGAAGCTATTTCAGTTTCGTAGTCTCTGTTGTACTTGCGGATCTTCTGACGCAGTGTACTAAGGGCTTTGGCGTTGTTTTTGTTCATCTTCTTCTTGCCCTCTTTATCCTCCCATAGCTGCAGAGAAATGCATTTTAATTATATATTTTGCAGTTAAAAGAGTGGGAGATTGGACATTATACAAGCTAATAAACTTAATAGAAAGCAAAAGACGTGGTGTTAAGTCTTTACTGACCTGGTTCAGATAGTCTTCCAAGTCGGCCAGAAGACGAATATAGAAAGGGGGAACCCCCTCTTTGTCCACTATAGTCTTGCTTTTGAGGAAAGCTCGACATAACTGCTCAAATTCTTCCAGACATTTTGCCATATCACGAATCTTCATTGCATTGCGGATAGTCTTGATAAGGTTGGTCAACTCCTCAAACCTAAGATTTAAGAATAAATACATCAGAAACTCAAACTAAAGAAAACCAAAGCCAATCAACGTGCTGCTGAAAGAAGATACTACACAAACCTTTTGTCTTTGGCGCTCCGCACAATTCTCTTCGTGTCCTCCTCATCGTCACTAATCAGCAGCGACCTGTGGAAACAGAAGATGTGTGTGAGATTTCTAGAAAGAAAAAAAAAATGAAAGAGAGTTGTCGTGGCATTTATTTTCAAGTTGCACTGACTGCTTGAAAGTCGTCCCGGGTGCTTTAGGGGTGATCTCATCGGCGGACGAGGACTCCTCTGACTCGCTGTCAGACCCGGTGGCAAAGAAACGAGACATTGCTGAAGGATGCTGTCAATCTGTAAGGATGGAGGGAGGAAAGAAGAGAGAGAGAGAGAAGCATTTGTGCTGCATTCAATTTAGTATCAAGACAGATGTTCTTCCAGGATGTGCATGACGACTTCTACAAAATCAATTATACTAACTTTACCATGCATGTTCCTTCAAACTCATTTAATTTGCTGCTATGAAGGAGCCAACTCAGAACTAGACAAAGTAAGTCTCTCAGATTGTAGTGGACTAAGAAATCCCACTACACTACTGGTGATGTAATGTGACACACAGAGGATTAGTGTCTTCTCTCATCAGCATACATATAGAGATAGGAATCTTGTGCTTATTTTGTCTGTATTTGAACCGGTAATTCAAAGGTTAAAGCCTTTCATTGTTGTCCGTATCACTGTGTGAAATAATGATATGAATCTTATAACATTGGTCATTGTATTGAGGTGAGTTTGTGTAACCGACAGAGGGAGTTCATGCTCCGCCAGCCTCACGTAGCTAATGTTATCTAGCTTTGACAGACAATGTAACAATAGTATAGCTGTAAATATGTATCCCACAGTTTGATTACAAATAATCACAACAACATAGAGCCACAGCACTCAGATTCTTCGTAAACAAGTTAACGCTATTTCCGTTTTGATAACATAACGTGGTAGAGTTGTTGCTAAGCTAACGGTAGCATTTCTGGGCCTTCCCGCATGTGAAGCCGGTTCATACCCTTCACTTAGCGAATAATCGTTTTAACTCGATACAAAATTGAGAGGGGACTCACCTGCGTCCTTGTGAAATGTGTACTACGGTGTGTCTGTCTACTTTGACTCGTTATAAAATCCAGTTTTGCTGTAGAACGGCCACAAATAAAACAAGGCGTGCAGCAGCCTTGCCGGGCACTTGCGTCAGGAAAAGGAAGTGAGCCGTAGATCGAGAAATACATGGATGGTCCACAGCAGAGCTACAAGTGAGGACGAGAGAATCCTGGGTTATGTTGCCCCCTAGTGGACGTAAAGTGTAACATAATTATTTAAAAAAACAAATAAAAAAAAACGACATTGGGTATGCTAATATCTTTAAAAAGACAGGAATATTTTGAACAGTAGAAATAAATAAATAAAAATTAACTTTCAGATCAGATACATATGGAAGCCCATTTCCACCGGTTAAAAAAATAAAAATGAAAACAATAAAGTCATAATGAGATAAAAAGTCATAATAATTAAATAATAAAGTCATAATAATGAGATAATAAAGTCATAATGAGATAAAAATTATTATTTTATATTTTCATTTTTATTTTTTTACTGGTGGAAATGGGCTTCCATAGATACATATATGAATTTAAGTATTTTTCTATTTAAATATTTTAGACAGATACAAACTCAAAAGACCCAAAACAAGCACATCAGAGGACGTTACGCTTCATGACTTTATTTATTTTGTCACATGTATATTAGATATTGTCAATCTGTAAAACTGCATATTTGAGGCTTAAAACAGAGAAAATTTAAAAGGAAACACATACACGGTTTTAACATTTCATTGCCTACTAATATACATCTCACATTCACACTGACATTGGGCAACATTGTGTTTCAATATCATCACAAACTGAGCTTTATAAAGTCCTTACACTGTTCTTGTCAGTGTTGTATTGCATTGTGGTGTTTTTAGTGACCAGATTTATATGTTTGTAAGTAAATGCTGGTCAGTCAGTTACATACCATTACATAGTGGACAGAAAGTAAAGAGTTATATATTGTATTTTTTCTCATTAAAAAGGACATTTATTTGGAAGAAAAAAAAAGTTAAGCACAGCGTGAGACATTGTGACTTTAAAACTATATTAGCATTCCTCCTCTTCTTTGTGGTACTTCAGCAACTCTGAAAAAAAAGAAAAGATGACACAAACACTATTTTACTTTCAACGAAAATCTCAATGTCTTATTCCTGGCATAATTACAAAAAGACACACCAAAGCCAAAATGTGTGACTTAAAAGCTAAACAGTGTTTCCCCTACCATTATATTAGGGGGGCGGCCCGCCCTCAGCTGCATTTAGTGTCATTAGCTCATGAATCTAAGCCAAGCTGAGAGCGAGAAAACCTTTTCCCACATGTGGAAACTAGTGAGTTTGTCAAAAGCACGGTTTCAATATAACAATTTTTGAGCTTTTCTTGGGGGTAATAGATACATTTAATAAACTCATTAAGATAGAACCACAGTCACAGTACATACCTTCTTTCAGTCTCCTTATTTCTTCCGATTTCATTTTAAGTTGCTGTTCAAGAGCAACACAGTTGGCACAACCTGCAATGCAATGTAAATAACTGATCATTTTAATGATACATTAGATTGGTGAGGCTAAATACTTTATTTATAAGTAAACTTGTTTGAGTTTTTTTTATTTGAACTGGTCTCTAACTTCTCTAACACAACACCCTTTTGCTTTGTCTCTCTGCTAAAATTACAGATCTCTCTGGCTTTGATAACAGCTGGAAATATTTGAGGTGATGTAAATACTCAACACAAATATATATAACACAGGTTTAGTCCATTTTTAATGAATTTAGATATTTTAATATGAAGATTGTTTCATTACACTTGAATTCTACATATTGTACGTGTAAAAGAAACACACTGTCCGGTATTCCTGTTGCTGTTGGGGAATTTAATTAACACATATTTCTGGTTTTATTATAGCTGACAAGAACCTTTACCAACACACACTTTCTTGATTTCCTTTCTGTGACAGGACTTTTACTGACACACACTTTCTGGTTTTCCTAATGTCAGGGGACTTTAACAAATAAACATGGTCTTGGTTTTGATATTCAGACGGGGTCTTTTACTTTTGAATAAATAAATATAAAGCCCTGAGTTTGAAATACAAGAAAAGTCTTAATAGAGATTACATCAACTAGATCATTGTGGTAGTTAAGAATTTCTTTATATGAAAGGTTTAACTAAGTGTAGTACCATGATTCCCTCAACCTGTGCACCAGCTTACCATGGGCTTGAGGTTTAGCTAGTGGGGCTCTGTGGCTGGTTCCAGGCTGTTTGAGGACTCTGGCTCTGCTGGCGGCGTCACAAGACGTTGAGGTCTCAGCAGTACCAGTTTGTGCTGCGGCATCTGGAGACATTTGATGAAGAGCAGGTAGCAAAGAAGATAAGTAACCCATGAGACCACTACAGCAGGATTGTTCTACAAAGCGGAACAGCACGAGACAATCCCGACCAACCTTCTCTTTGGGTTTTAGCTGGCAAAGGCCTCTGGCTGGTTGTAGGCTGTTTCAGGTTTTTGGCTCTATTGGCTGCACCACAGGAGGATGTTGAGGCTTCAGCATTACTGGATGGTAATGGAGCATCTGAGAGGAGGAGATACAAGTGTGATGTAGGTCAATTATGCAAACACCTTCACAACAACTGGTGTGCAGTTAACTTACAGGTGTTTCGACGTAGCTCATGCACAAATACTAAAAAAAACACGCCTGAATGATGGCAAACAACATCAACATTTACCCATTTTCCTCCTCTTTGCTGCTACTTGCAAAGCTTCAGCCCGGCTTAAGGGATGCTTCTTCGCTAGTGAAATCTTCGTCGCTGGGCTAATTTCTGTTTGTATGTAAAGAGTTTGTTAAAAAAAAAAGAAAAGAAAAAAAGATTCATGTTAATTAATAATTTCACCGTTGGCACTCAAGAAAGAAAAAATGGAATGATACGTTTACACATAACTTCCCACTATCACTTATCAAGAGAATAAGAATAAGCAAAACAAATGTCTAAATTGTGAAGTGTTGTTGATGCTCATTAGTCACTTACTATTACATTTTGCTTTTTTGCAATTGGTTATATTCTTTAAAACCACAGTGAACCCCAGTGCAGAAACTGAAAAGCAGAGGGAGTGTCAGACTCGTAGAAAGCTTGAACATTGATACATATGAATATTTGTTGGACAGGTTTACATGTAGCCATGTAGCAACACCGTTACATTTCTTAACATTTCAAAATAATGAAACTGCATTCTCCCTGAGGCTCGATTCGCTCTGATACGTTGTGTTTGTTCACTCAGTTATAATCAGCCAGACCAAACTGAAACCTCTGTGCTTTGAGAATCACTTCATGACTGCTCTATTTGTCACTGAATGTCAGAATGAACAAGCAAAGCACGATGAGCAGTGTTACCACAGAAGGAGTACCTGCAGGCGCCCGCAGTTTTTCTGTGCCTGAAGAAGTTGGCGATGCTGGTGCTTTGCTTCGTGTTGATGGCGGCCTGAGACCAGCGGCAGCTCTCTGGACGCCTGATGGCATGCCTACCGCCTGCGGTTTCCGCAAGCCATAATTGGGCTTTTTGGATCCTGAGTGGAGACAATGTGGATAGAGGACATTCACATTTCTTGATCTATTTTTAGATCTCATTCATAAAAGGAGGTCCTAAATGTGCACTTTCAATGAGCTATTTTGAGTTTGTTTTGATGCTTTACAAATCAGATTGTTATTATTTTACAGAGCGCAATTTTAAATGAAGAAAAACAGTGAAATGTCTAAAAGTTATTCATGAAACACATTTTTACATTGGTTTGAGTGTATCATGCTGTCGATATTCTGACATGTATATTCTTTATCATTTTATAGAATAGAATGTACGTTTAATGAGCCTAAACCAAAAACATAAAACACAATGCCCCACCTGTTGTTGTGGCCCTCAAGTTGTAGGCGCTTGATATCCCTGTAGTCTTAAATACACAAGAACAGAGGATGTCATGAACAGAGAGCCTTGATATGCAGTCAGTGTTTGGTCTGACTGATTGTATAAAAAAAAAAAGTCATGATACTGAAAAGGCTACAACAAACATTTACCACTTGGGGTGCATCAGAAGCTGCAGAACTCCTCAAAGCTTCAGTCTGCATCTTCTGTCTCTTCATCTGCATGCCGGACATCAGCGGCTCAAACCTTTCTGGAAGTGTGGAGGCTGGTTTGTACTTCAACAGGTGGGATGTAGATTTGGATGGAGGCAGGAGAGATCTGGCAGCGGGCTTGGTGAGGAATGTTTTTCTGTCGCAGACAATGTTGGAAGGAATGTCTGATGTCACCTGACAGTCTGGCTTACTGGGAACGTCCCCGTACAGCTTCTTCGTCGCCCCAAGGATTTTGCCCGTCTCTCGTTCATTGTTGAAGTTGAACACTTTACAGTTTGGCATTGGTGTTGAAGTTATCAAAGCGGCTGCTGCTAAATCTAAGGTGTCGTCCAAGTTGAATGTGTTCGCTTTGCTGCCGTCCAAATCTCTGCTTTGATAGGCTGAAGTGTCAGAAGGACTGTCTGTCATAGGTTGCCCTGATTGTGAAATATCCTTAATCCCGAGTTTCGATTCACTAGAAGCTTTCTCTACAACTGGATCCACCTCAAACGTGCTCTCAGGCACACCGGCCACCTTGGCATTGGGATCCGTACCAGCTTTAGAGCCAGTCTGTTCAGATGTTTCAGGGGGCTGGGGTTCAGGAGTCGGGTTTTTAGGGCTACTTGTTGCATCGCAGACCTTCGAAGAAGACGGCTTGTCCATACTGTTGTGGAGGGAGTCGCTCGTTTCTGACAGAGTAATCGTGTAGTTCTGCTGAGGGGGAGGTTTGGTATCGAAAGTGTTGTTCTGGAGGCAGAAAGTTCCAGCCGCAGCTTCTCCTAATGTAGAATTCCCACTGGATTTTTGTAGAGAATTCCTATCGAAAGTGGCATTTGGCATGTCACATGAGACATTTGTTTTTACAGCCGAGCAACTTACCACGAGGGAGTTTTCAGTTGTGTTGCTTGAGAGCGAAGAAGCCTGACCTTTGGCCTCACTCTCCGCTCTGGGACTGTTTACATTCGATGGGGGAAGATCCAGCGTCTTATTCTGAGGCGTTTGAGCCGCGCCGCTTAAACTGCTTGAGGAACTTCGATTGGCCGACTGAGCAACAGTGAACGTGTCGTTCGCAGACCCGGCTGCTTTGGGGCTTAGGCTCGACGCCCTGGCATCGTGGCTAGTATGTAGCTCTCGGGCATTAGAGGTCACAACAGGCTCACGGTGTAGTTCAGAGGTTACCGTCTTTGAACTGGAGTCACACTGCATGTCAGAGGTGGAGAACTGTGTCACAGCACTCTGAACAGACGTGTCACTGGAGGAGCTCAGGTCACGTGTGACATTAACAGGATGGGTTTCAAGAGTGTCCTCAGCTGCTGTGTGAGCATCCATCATGTTCTGCCCGCTTGGCTCCGTTGAAAGCCGACTACTTTCTGAAGCGTTGCTCACAGAAATATCCCGAGTCAGTTCAAAGGAAGCTTTTGTTCCATTTCGCACTCCACACTTAGACGGTTCACTCAAAGAGCTGCTGGTGTGTGTGACATTACCTTCAAGAGTATTGGACAAGTCCACACTTTGACTCACGTCGACCGTGGCGGGCTGTGCTGCGATTTGTCCACCGAGGTCAGTGGAAGCCGCGTTGCTTTCTGAAGCTTCCGCCGGGGAAATGTCCTGTGTGATGTTCATGGAGGACCTTTCTGCTCCTGGCGACGGCTCAGAATCCCGCGTAACATCCAGGAGAGTAATTTCTGGGAAGTATCTGTCATCCAGCCAACGCAGGGAGCGAAAGAGCTCTCAAGGGGGTCATGCATCTTCACGTCGGGCATCGGAGTGCTCGTGTTTAAACTAGTGGAGGCAGTCAACTTGGAGGGCCGGTGAGCGGTAAGCGGGGAGCAAACAGGCCGGGCTGTGACGGGCGAGGGAGGCACGCTGTCAGGAAGAGCCGAATCATTTCTTGTCACTTGCATCGTTGAATCACATGTCACATCAAGCAGAGTAATTTCTGGCAAATATTCGTCCTCCAGCAAGCTCACAGAAGCATTGGTACCAACCAATGACGGCCCACAATGGCTGCTTAAGAAATCTGGGTGAAGAAGTCGGTTCGAACTGTCATTTGGTTTTTGACTGTTTGCGTTACCTTGTTTTGACGACACAGGAGACCGACATTTATTGTTAATATTCAAGTATTTTAAAATTGGTGTTAGAGCAGACTGGAGCCCGGAAAGCCGCGACTTTGCCTTGCCTCCGCCGTCGCTGCTGCTTGTCGGAGCTGGTGTCGAAAAGGCGCAAACGTCAGACAGAGGCGGACTTCCTCCGCTTGGCTGTGTGGAGGAATATCCAACCACATCGCCGAGCTCTGAAGACTCGGCAGCGGTAGAGATTTCAGGTGGAATATTTTCCCAGTCATCATCAGCATTGTGATTTTCCTCAATAGATGAGGTTTGCACTGTCGTTTCATTGGCCATACTGGTCTAATGTTCTTCTGACGTAAACAAAGGGTTTCTTGTTTTGAACGCCAAGGAGCGACACTCAGACTTCCTGACACATATTTTAAAGGCGTCGTCTCAGATTCCTCTGGCCTGCAGCCTGGGGATAAAACAATACATGAATGCAACGATATATAGATTTGTAAACCAACAGAAAATGAATCGTCAACTATTTTGATCCGAGTTGAACAATTGTAGTCATATTTTAAGCCGAGAAGTCAAAGCTTTAGTGGTTCCAGCTACTTCAGAGTGATCATTTAAAGCTTTTTACGACACTTTGGAGAGTCTGCGGGTAAAATAACATGAATAACTCCCACTCTTCTTGCTTGTTACTGTAATTTGAAGAACACAATAACATCATCTTAGATCAGGGATGGGCAACTTCGTTCACAGCAAGGGGCCACATTAATTTAATTCTCACTGCCAGAGGGCCAAATTGTAGGATACAAAAAACAATTACAGTCGATTATGTCTCAAATTTAACTCAACATATGGCAGTGATCAAATATTATTATGGACATACTTCTGGTTTTCATGATGTCATGGCATATTCAGTCATGTTTTCTTCATGTTTCCAAATTAATTGATGTGTAAAAATTGACCTGAGGGCCACATTGAGGGTTGATAGGGGCCCTGTCTTAAGATTTTAAGTAGGTCACAGATATGAAAAGCCAGTTGGTAAAACGGATACTGTATCACTGATTTAATGTAAATAATGATCACACTAAGACACTGCCAAATAAACTTCACCATCAGACGACCACAGACGTCTTGAGTTTTTAGTAGCATCACTTATGGTCTGTCAGTCCAGCTCAAATAGTCTCAAATGAAGCAAATTCTTGCATAGCAACGTTAGTTTGTCGCTCGTCAATGTCTTTGTCTTACCTTTCAGACTTCAGTGACAAAGTCTATGTCTGTAGCTGTGAAACCCTCGTGTTTCGACTGCGAATATTCATCCACACAAACTTTGAACGATGTCATAAAGCATCGAAAAACTCGCGATCGAGCCACTGTTTGCGCCGCTCTGGTTCAAAAACCTCCAAACGTCAGTGTACCTTAAAAGCATTGGACGATCCCAACCAATCACAGCGCTTGTTGTAGAGTTCTTCTTCTTGAGTTAGGCGGACACGACGCATCAACTCATCCACGGAGAATTGCTGCCCTCCACTGTTCAATTAAATAGTATACAGAGCAGTGCTGTGCAGATATTACACCTGGTTTCCTCATCTTATTCATCTAGATTTAGCTGAGTGGAACCATTTTTCTCCTGCTGATGCCAGATCTCTGGACAGTTTCCTTCTTTGTAGTGTAATTCTTCTTGCACTGGAAAAAGGATGTGTCACACTGTGTCAACGCTGACGCACTCACATTTTCCATCAGGGGTGTTTACCTGTCAGAGGCAGCCCCCTCCTCAGCCGTGTTGTCGAGTTGGTGATTCCCATTCTATTAAACAGTACTGCTGTCATGGGTTTATTTAAAGCCTAATCTAAAAATCTGCTGAATTTAACATTCAATTAAATGATCCGATTTCTACATTAATTTATAAGTTCTGGCTTTTCTCTTTGCTCAGTTTAATCAGACTGCAAATGAGATCAATATTTAAATTCAATTATAAATAAAGCTATGTTTCAAAATGTTTAAAATGTCATCTTTTCAAACATCTTCTCTTTAGTTGTCTTGTATTATGTTTCCTCACCACTGCTAGGTAGAAACACGTTCGGTCAAAGAAAGTCCCATTTCTTTTAGGTTCAACTTTATTACAAACATTGAAACATGAAGTACATTTCATCAGTGTTTAATTTGATACATTCTTTATAAAAGTAAAGTACTCTATATAATACATTTTAAATATTCACAACAAGGCATTATCATTCATCTTTTGTCTTCGTCTTTTGTGGTTTTCTTCAGTTTTGTCTTCAGCTCAGACATCAGAGGATTTCCAAATCTAAGGAGGCAAAAGTAAGAATCACAAAATAGTTCCCCCTTTTGAGATGAATATAATAATGTCCACACTGTTATAATTTACCCTGGGTGTCTTGGTGGCATCCATTTCGGCTTGTGTTGTGCCTTATCTTCTTCTGGAGCAATGCCCTTTTCCTCTGGCTTTGTCTCAGGCTCCTGTTGATATAGTTACATTTTAACAATCTACATGGTACATCAACATGAGAGAAAATTGGTACTGAAAGATAATAACGGTACCTGTGGGTCACTGTCTGGGCTATTTTCATTTCTCATCATCTGTTTTGTCTTTTTCAGAACAGGAAAACCAGCACCGAGCCCTACAAAGCAAAAACAAGTGTGATCAACTTTACAGATAAGGAAAAAAAAGACACTCAGAGAAGTGGCTTTCCGTGTGTTTAAAGTGACTTACCAGGAAGTTTTACTCCAATGCCAATGCCTCCCAAAGGCACACCTGCAGGGACTTTGACTGGCAGACGTGAAGCAGGAGTGGGATCCACCGAGGGCATATGCAGCAGGGAGCGGGGATCTTTTGGTGGTCTGACTCGAGGGTTTTTCACAGCGATTCTTGACCTTTGCGCAGAAAAGTCGAGCACAGAGGCATCCACCTGTCAAGATAAAAATGTGTAAATTCATTCTTTTTAGGTTTTGAACACTTTTTGAATGAATTTATGATTATGGTTATATATAACTGAAACAATACCTCAATCTGATCTCCAGACTGTTGTGCCACCTCTGTCCCGGTAAGTCCTGGTGAAGAATCATCTGTCTCTTCTGTCAATCCAAGCTGTTTTTTCTCAAGTAACGTCTTCTCTGATTGGGTTGAGGTGTTGTCTTGTGAACCAGATTCAGATGACTCAATACCCTCCTCTGACGAACCCTCTGATTCACTTCTCGAACGGGCTGAGTCAGTGTGTTGGATTTCCTCTTGAGAATCAGACGCAGTTATCTTAAGAGTCTCAGTTTCAACTTTTGTTTTCTCTAGTTGGAAAAGAGCGCCCACTTCTGTCAATGATGTCACATCTGCTTCAACAGCGGTTTTAAAATCCGTCACTTTGCCATCAATCTCTTTCTTTAATCCATTTTCCTCGTGCATTTTTTCCCGTGTTTGATCTGATTCCTGATCTTGATGTCTAACCTCTTCAGAATCTCTCTCCTCAAGGTGAAATCCTGTCACAGATTCCTCATCTTTTAGATATAACTGTCTTGCGTCAGGGGTTTCCTCCATCATCGTATCCTGGGATCCAGAGTTGTGTTCTTGTGGAGACAATTCTAAGATGTTCACGGATTCTGACACATTCACCAACATGTCATATGTGCCTTGGACTGTCCCAGGGCTAGCTGATTTCAGTAACTGCGCCTCACTGTTTTGTGGGCCCCATTCATTAAGGGAATGGTCGGAAAATCCAGACTCTGCTGTTGATGAAGACATCTCTGTATCACTCACTAATTCACATTCCCTTGGATTTGACTCCACAAGCTGCTCTGTATCCTGCTGTGTTTCTTCCTGTTTCGATGGCTCTAATCCTGGGTTCAATTGTGGCCCAAGCTCAGGCCCTTCTTGATGCTTTTCATCGTCCTTGGACAATGTCTCATTACACATGTCGAGGATCTCCTCATCAATTACATCTTGAATTGGACTGATTGAGCGAACCGTTTCTTCACCACAACTCCCCTCTGATTCCATCATTTGCTTTTGCATTTCATCTGTTGATATCATACACACATCATGTGTTGGTTTGGACTCGATTATCTCCGATTCATGAGTTGCTTCATTGTCAGATAGTCGATTTTCTGTCTCTAGGGACTTCATAGATAATGTAAACTCTGAAATTAAATCATTATTTTCTCTGGTTATTTCAGCTGCCATACCAGCAACCTGCAGATCAAATATTTTAACCTCATTTTTGTTCTGCATCTGAACTTCTGCTGCCTCCTCCTCCTCAACTTTATTCGCTTCCAATTCTAAATTGTTGCCTGTATCTTGCAGAGCCGTCTCTTTATTTGATGACAGCTCAGTCTCGACAGATTGTTTCACAAATCCAAAGGGAGGAATATCATCTTGTACACCGGATGCTCTATTGCTGTTCTGTTCTGTTTTCTTAGCGTCCACTGATTCTTGAAACCTTGTCTCCGTTGTCATCTGTTCTTTAGCCTCAAGGGGTTTTAGAATTTCTTCTCCCACCAAATGTTCTGTTGCTTCAAGACCATCTCCAGCAGCATCAGCTTCTTCAGAATCAAAAGAATCTTCATCTATTTCCACCAAAAGCTCTTCATCTGGTAGATCTTCTTTCTTTGTCACGCTCAAGCCTGTCTCGAGTTCATTTTCTGAGTGTTCTATCCCGGTCTTCATTTGGGCAACCATAAATGTTCCGTCCTCTTCCACAAACAAAGGTCCTGGTTCTTGAGCTGTTGGTTCAACTAGTGGTTTACCTGCTTCTTTTGTCAATTCGGCACAAACCAAAGCAGAGTGTTTCTTAATATCGTCTTTGCTTTCTTGAACCTCCTCCATATGCTCTTGCACCAGTAAACAGTCAGCTCCACTGCTACGTCCACTGTTTTGAAGGCTCTCCGGCTCTTTGCTCTCCACCTCTTTTGGTAATTGGCTGCTCTGGACTTCTTTGGAGTCTCCTACTTCCAGGAACCTTTGTGTTGTATTTTCATCTGGTCCTGGCTCATTGTTGTATTCAGGAACTCCCTCTTGTGCTTCCTCACATGTTGGAGGATTAAGCTCCGGCGACACATCAGACCGGCCTTCAAATATACCCTGGGGAATATTTTGAAACTCCCAGCTTTCTTCCTGTCCAGTCTCACCTTCAGGTTTCACAGTAACCGAGATGGCTGTACATGCTCTTACCCCCCAACTTTCTTCAATGTCTTCTTGTACTTGATCTTTACCAAGATGCATCTCATCTGTTGATATCATACACACATCATGTGTTGGTTTGGGCTCGATTATCTCTGATTCATGAGTTGCTTCATTGTCAGATAGTCGATTTTCTGTCTCTAGGGACTTCATAGATAATGTAAACTCTGAAATTAAATCATTATTTTCTCTGGTTATTTCAGCTGCCATACCAGCAACCTGCAGATCAAATATTTCAACCTCATTTTTGTTCTGCATCTGAACTTCTGCTGCCTCCTCCTCCTCAACTTTATTCGCTTCCAATTCTAAATTGTTGCCTGTATCTTGCAGATCCGTCTCTTTGTTTGATGACAGCTCAGTCTCGACAGATTGTTTCACAAATCCAATGGGAGGAATATCATCTTGTACACCGGATGCTCTATTGCTGTTCTGTTCTGTTTTCTTAGCGTCCACTGATTCTTGAAACCTTGTCTCCGTTGTCATCTGTTCTTTAGCCTCAAGGGGTTTTAGAATTTCTTCTCCCACCAAATGTTCTGTTGCTTCAAGACCATCTCCAGCAGCATCAGCTTCTTCAGAATCAAAAGAACCTTCATCTATTTCCACCAAAAGCTCTTCATCGAGTACATCTTCTTTCTTTGTCATGCTCAAGCCTGTCTCAAGTTCATTTTCTGATTGTTCTATTCCGGTCTTCATTTGGGCAACCATAAATGTTCCGTCCTCTTCCACAAACAAAGGTCCTGGTTCTTGAGCTGTTGGTTCAACTAGTGGTTTCCCTGTTTCTTTTGGCAATTCGGCACAAACCAAAGCAAAGTGTCTCTTAATATCTTCTTTGCTTTCTTGAACCTCCTCCATATGGTCTTGCACCAGTAAACAGTCAGCTCCACTGCTACGTCCACTGTTTTGAAGGCTCTCCGGCTCTTTGCTCTCCACCTCTTTTGGTAATTGGCTGCTCTGGACTTCTTTGGAGTCTCCTACTTCCAGGAACCTTTGTGTTGTATTTTCATCTGGTCCTGGCTCATTGTTGTATTCAGGAACTCCCTCTTGTGCTTCCTCACATGTTGGAGGATTAAGCTCCGGCGACACATCAGACCGGCCTTCTAATATACCCTGGGGAATATTTTGAAACTCCCAGCTTTCTTCCTGTCCAGTCTCACCTTCAGGTTTCACAGTAACCGAGATGGCTGTACATGCTCTTACCCCCCAACTTTCTTCAATGTCTTCTTGTACTTGATCTTTATCAAGCGATCTCTCGTCTACTACTGAAATGTCTGATAGTTTATTACCAAACCGTTCAGTGATCAATGCGTCATAGCTTTCTGTTGGGAAATCATCTGTGTCTCTTATTTTGATTTGCAGATTGACTTCCTTTGCCACATCCTCTTGCTCTCCATTTGTGTGTTGCTCAGTTTTAGCACACAGCACAGCTTCATCGCTGAAACTCTTTTGGTCGTTTAAATGGGGGTCTTCTTTGCTGTCTTCTGGCACTGTTTCAGAGTTGTCTTTCTGCTCCAGTACTTTATCTAAAGCCTGGTTTTCTTCAGCCACATTCACTTTTTGTTCCTCGATGACAGCTTCCTGCTCTCTCTCTTCCATTGTGCTCTTATCCTCCTTCTCTTTCACATCCTCAGATGTATTGCTCATATTTCTGGGAGCCATCACTCGATCTTTTCCAACAACTAGCGCAATAACTAGTTCATCATTTGACCATTTTTCACTTGCTGAGAGCTGCTTTTCATCCTGTACTGTACTTAGTACACCCTGACTGTTTTCCACTTCTTGGTGCTTCATCAATGTCTCTGTCTCGTTTTTCTGCATGTCGTCCTCTTCTATGTGAATCTTAAGTTCCATTTTTTCAGGACTAAATTCTGTGACTGAGCATGATTTTATCTCAATGCCGCCTGCCTCCAAATCATGTTCATTATCTCCCACCTTGTCTTGGATCTTTGTCTCTGTTTCCTCCATTTTTTGAGGAACATCTGATTTCATTTCCCTCTCTGATTCACCTTCAGAAACAGCCAAATCTTCACTCGTTGCATCACTTTTAAGCATCTGTGACCTCGTGTTTACGCGTTCGTCATATTCATTGTTTTCTGCTGTCTCATCTTGTCTGTGAGTGTACAGTTTACGATCTACTTCTTCGTGTTCTTTTTCATCTTGCACCACGAGTAGCTCTAAATCATCACATTCTGTTTGTTTGAGTTCCTCCCCTCTGGTGTCCTCTTCTTCCACAGAATCTTTCCTTTCAGATTTGTACTGCATGGTTTCTACATCGGGCCCTAAGTCAATATCTGTGGTGCAAAGATCCCAGGCAACAGCTGGCCGAGATGTGCCAAGCAGAGATGCTGGGGCAATAAGTTGTTCCTCATCGACCTCCCTCCGGGTGACTTCATCTTCTAAATGGCTACACTTTGCAAGCTCGCTGTCAACTGCCGACTCCTGGGGGGCGTTTTGTTCGTTGATAACAATGTTGGCCGGCTCTGGTCTGAGCAATCTGTTAACAGCTCCAGTTAAATAGTACTGAGAATGAGATAAAAACATGAAAGGGAGACTTATTGATGTTTCAACATTAATTCAGACTAATTTACCAAATCATTTCTAATGCAATTGGCTGAGCAGATTCAAATCTACTAATTTGCCTTTCATTATTTTTCCTCAATTTGAAAACCGTGTATATATATTGTCTTTGTTTTTCAAAAACACCCTGAATTAATATCAAAATAATATGGCCAAAAGCATTTGATCATCTCTGTTGACATGCATTTCCCATACCTATTTTTTAAATTTGATGCTGTTGTTTGTGTTTTGGTAACTAAGGCACATTTTTATGTAACATAGGAGTATTCACGCAATGTCTTTTCAGCTGACCAGCAACAGTTTGGGGAAGTTCCTTTTCCTGTTATACCATGACAATGCTTACACACACAATGCAATATCCATAAATGGCTTCTGGATTTGTTGTGTTCTTGACTCCAAGCAAAACAATCACATCAGATATGGTTCCTTTTATACATGCACTGACTGGTATCTAAGCTGCAGTGCAATCAGCTGTGAACACAAAACTGACATCTTCTGAAGTTCTATTGAGCCCTTATATACGTCATTACAGAACAGTTGTATATGTTTGGAGTATCTTATTTAATGCAACCTGATGAAAATACTTAAATCATTTTAATCTTGCTTTCCTCAAAATGGCTCTTTATTTGCTAAACGTCTTCGAGCTAGCTGCTAAATGTGTCTGTTGTTTGGTGCTGGGCAGGTAGAGCACAGTCAGCCTGGTTTCAACCCTGCAAATCTTCTCAGTGACTCAGATCATTGAAATGAACTGAAACTAGAGATACTAAAATGGGCTGATTGAGAGCTGATGAGAACTGCATCACAACAATATCTAATTATATTGATAACAACAGAATTTAAAAGTCAGTGCTTCCTAATTTCTCCTTTTTGTTTCAAAAAAGCCAGACATACGATGACACTGAAGTTGCAAAATATGCAGTTTTATCGACAGGACAATTTTTAAGTTAACATAGAAAAATAAGTGGGAAATGGGAATCAACAACTTCTTTTTAACTTAACACAAATGATTTCACAGAACTCTCTAAATTCAGATTCCTATTTTAAAGTTAGGCTATTTTTCAGAAGAAGGAAGTTATGAGGAAATAAAATGACCTTTAAAATCAAGTTCTGCACACCAATTAAAAACATAGTCAAACAGCTGTGTTATATGTGTGTGTCCACATAGTTCTAATATACTAATGTGCATTTGAAACCTTAAAAACAAGTTTGTCCACGCTGTTCTTCATCATTAAGGGACATAACAGTGCAAACTGCGTGTGCGTGCGTGTGTGTGTGTGTGTGCGTGCGCGTGCGTGCGTGTGTGTGTGTGTGCCTGCGTGTGTGTGTGTGTGCAAGATGCAAAGAGAGAAAGACAGGGGGTGAAGAACTATAGGATGAGATACATTATTAACCCAAAATACATTGGCTATGTGTGATTTGCACAGGAAGGGAGAAACCCTCAATCCGCATCCCACTTCCCTTTTAAAGCATTTACATTGTAGTTACAAATGTGGTTTTGAGTGACGCTCACCCAAACGGTCCAGAAAGTTCTCTCCACCCTGCCGACAACGGGACTTTCGTTGTCCATCCTCAGATCTTCGTCCCTGGTGACTGATGTGCTAATGTCCTCTGTAATTGACCGTGAAAAAGCTCAAGGCTCCGGACTGTCGTTAAGTGTTAAACCGAACACCAGGAACTCGACAGCATGCCCCGTCCGGCCGTCACGGTTCAGTTCCTCATACAGACACATGTCCGGTGTATCATAGTGAGGAAGAGGCTGATTAACACCGCTGAGTTACCGCAGCACTTGAACTACGTGTTGCTGCAGAGCTTGGTGATGCACTTTCCCACAGTCTAAAAGGTCCGACCACAGAAGTGATGGGCGATAAATTATTCTAATCACGATGGAAAACTAGCACGAGCTCATAACTGAGGGCTTTTCATAATGACTGACTTAGAAACATTTTGTGACTGTTATTGGACCAAATTCTTAGCACACAAAAAAATAAACCTATATCAACAGATAACAAAATTCATGAGCCATAGTAGATATCTGCAATTGAATTATTTCAAGTCATAATTCTTGTTGTATAGGCCCTATTTGAAATTGGATGTTACCTGTATAGCCAAATGCGGATACTAATTTCATTATACAAGTCACAATGTAGGCCTATTTCTGATATTCATAATTACATTTTGGATATCTCTCATTTTAGATATCTGAAAAGATAAATACAGCTATTGAAAACTATTCAAGTCTTCTGTGTCACCTTTCTTTTATAATATCATACATTACATAGAACTTCTAGTCACGATCCCTGCTGTAGCCTATGATTTTCATTGGTCATGACATTTGGAAACAATGTGTAACACTGGATGAAAAAGTAAAATGTAGGCCTGTGTAATAGTTATCAAAGTAACTACAACAATCAACACAATATTAAAAAGACCACTTTAATAATAAAAAACCTGTTTTACATGTATATCACATAAGTTGCAATTGCACATGTACTCACTGTATAAACTGAGAGGAGGAAGTTCTAAACTGAACATTTAAATTGCCCAGTTCAAGCACGCAGCACCTCCACTCCTCAGCACACTGATGTGACATTTGTGTGGTCAAAGTGCAAAAAAAAGTTTATTTTAAAATGAGAACTTAGTTCTGTGGTAGACCGTCAACACATGCTACACTGACTCATTTTCATAGACGGGAAACAAAACAAAATCCACCCCCAAAGAAAAACCTCTCCAAAAATGTATCTAGATTTTATTTTCAAATACAGTCATAAAAAATCTGCTAGATTATTATTGTAAAGTCCTTGTATAAAAATATGGATATTTGTAAAAATCATGGATCAAATGAAACAAAGAATTGATGGAAGATTAAGAATAAAAAGTAATAAATAAAGATAAAATAAATGTTGAAAGTAAAACCACACCTGTTGATCATATTAAAAAGAGTTGGATATCCTAAAAGCACGACTATTATTTAATACAGAAATATACATTATATTAGATATATTAAATGGAGTACATAAAATATCCAGGCTCTCTTGCACACTTCATGGCTTTCATGCAGAAGATGAGTTCTCCTCAATTGGCTCTGAAAGAGATAACACAACTGTGTTTAAAAACTACATGAAAACATTTCCTGTTTTTGTGTGTGTGCAATAATTGAACTGTAGCCGCATTGAAAACTGTTCCCTTAACCAGCAACAGTTAAAGGTCTTGTGACAGTGACATTTCCTCATAAATGAGATTTGTTTATGTTTAAGCTCACTGTATTTATTTGCTGCTTTTAAACTTACGCTCCAAAACAAAAGGAGTGAGATGTTTGTGTGGGTTACCTGTCCAGGTTCGATAAACAGGAAGCTTGAGCGCAGGGTGTGTGATCTCCACGCACACTCTCAAACGTGCTCCCTCATTTCCTCGGGTTCCATTACTCAAGTTGACTCGGTTTATTTGCAACGCGCCCGTGTCTTCATCTGTGTCTTTGTCACTGTCCTCGTCCAGCTCCGACTTTGTCTCCTCATCCCTGTCGATGTTGTTATTCTCTCCGTCCACTTGTTCATCGATGTACTCTATCCCTTCAGCATCAGGGTCTGTGACTGCATTTTTTGTTTCTGTAAATGAACAACAATTCAAATGAAGGCGCACCAGCACTGACAGATGTTATTACAGTAAAATAGGGAAATTTAAAAAAGTGGATGAAGCCCCTTGGTTTGAAAAGTGAGGCCAACGTGGAAGAGCCTCAGAAACCTGCATTCTTTCTAAAAACCATCAGGGGTGGTTTTATGTAAGACAAAATACATATATACTCCATTGGTCATTTTTGAAAAAATGGCAGATGAATTAAAAAAAAAAAAAAAGAAATAGGCCTACATTATTTGATATAATGCAAGTTCTATCTGAGATCTCCTACAGTTGTACTCAAGTTTGAGCATCTGCCAATAACCATGGACTAAATTTAATTTCTTGCAAATTAAGAATTCGGGTCCAAAGAGTATAGCAGAGCTTTTGATCTTTTCCTACACCCCGACATGCAACAGAAGCAGCTTTTCATGTAAGGCACATCCTACCAAGTGAATACTCACTCACTCAGTTAACTCTCACACTCATTTAATCACCACATCAACACTGTAAACTCAACTCTTCCATTATGTTCAATTTCTTTTTAGTTGTATGGAAAGAGGACTACGTTTGAAAATGAGCTCAGAATTTTCTGCCAATTTGTAAATAAAACTATATGAACATTTGTTAAGGACGAGTACTTATTGCATGTCCATTCTTCCGTCTCTCCAGCGGTTTGCTCGTCGGACTCGGCAGGCTCGTGGACCTCTCGAGGGCGCACAAACTCTTCAGCTCCCTCTGTCCATCATCTCCTATCTCCTCTGTCTCATTGGACACCAGTGGGGAAAGTGTGGCTCCTCCCGCTGCCCAGACTAATTTGACCTTTGGGTGACCTCCTTTCAACAGGAGGGAGAACACACCGACCCCTACACTGTTCCAACACACTAAGATCGACGGAGGGATGGAGGGAGCGACTATGGGAATGAATCAGAAAGTGTAAGTGAGTTAAAAACACCATAAAGTACGTAAGTCTTCAGCAGACACACTTCCTTACATTTCTAGTTGTTCTCTCAAACTCACAACTTATTTAACTCGTGATGTAATGATGCCTACCAATGTCAACATTCCTCCAGTGTCTCTCAATAGGCTCAGTAAGAGAACAGTGTTCCACTCTACAAGTAATCCCGCCACCTCTCTCCTCCTTCCCCTCGTTTGTTGCCCTCCTCTTCAGTGAAGCTGTGGCCCTGTAGAGTCTGGGATGAGTCTGCATGGGTCCCCACATCTCTCCTCCCGCTATCACCTCATCCTCTCTGTCGTCCCGCTCTCCCTGCCCCAGCTTCAGCCAGGTGACAGAGATGGTTGGAGGGTAGAAATCTGTGATTTCACATCCAAGCATGAAAGGCTGATCCGGTGTAGAAATGGAACGGATGATTTCAGAGACACATGGGCTCTTCATGAAGCCTATTCGGGAAAAAAATTCTCATACATTTTTCTTTTTTTTTTCAGCTTATATTCTTAAATGTATCCCTCATTTTGTCCTGATTTTTTTTAATTTTTTTTTTACCTCTGGTCTCGCGGGTGACCGGCTGTTTCAGGGCAATGTGGTGGATGCTTACCCACACTTTGGTGCCCCCCCTTTCCAGTTCACTGCGAGGTAGTTTACACTGACTGGAGGCAGAAAAGAAGCCTTCAGAATTGGGTCTGGGTGAGGACGAGGCCTGTGAGGCAACAGGGCTCAGCTCGCTCCCCTCACAGAACCAGCGGAAGGTAATGACGTCTGGATGGAAATGTGATGCCCGGACTGTCATACTGATGACATCTGGAAGACAGAATGTGAGAATGCACAGATGTAGCCCCTCACAACCAGGAAGGTTTTACATGTTTTGAATTGAGAAATAAGTTGAAACCTCACCAGAGTCATTTGGAGTCTCAGTCAGCTGGATTTCTGATACTTCAGGAGCAGCTAAAACAGAAAGTTAAATAAACTCATTAAATAAGTTGAGAAAATTCAAAAAGATAGTTAAAGTGAATAAAATGTTATGTACATAGAATCGTAAACTTCTCTGACACCCTCTCCGACACAATCTTATCCTTGCCCATGTAGGCCACTTGACACTTAAACACCGCCCCCTTGTGGATTGAAATCTGGGGGATGAAGGTGAGTGAGACGATCAGCTGTTGGATGCCACTTCCGGATGAGTGCAGCGGCCCTTGAGTGTGCAGCTTGTAGTAACCCATCTCGTCTCTGGAGGGCAGCAGACGACCTTTCTCTGACACTGGGGAGGTGAGAGTTAGACCGTAGGGCAGATGGATGGTGGTTAGGGGGTTATAGAGGCAGTTAAAATTTGATTTAGAGGTTTCTATCCAGATAAGATCGTAAATTGTTAGCAGAATTAAGGGTAAGAGAGAAAATATGGTTTTATGAGCACTTGCAATTCAAATAGGCTATAACTTATTATAGAAGCCATGATTCATAATGTGTGATATAATGCCAGTTACCCAAACATAACTCCTGTTTTCCCTTAAAGGTTATAAAGTAGTTTTTCAGAATCTGGCCTTTTTATTTTCTAGCTAAGACGTTTTACCTGCTCTTTTGTAAAGCGTCTCAAGATAACACTTGTTATGAATTGGTTGATTGATAAAGCTGTAGCCTGTATGGAATGTAAAGAGAGGGAAAATTCAAGCCTCGTCTTGTCTATGATTATATCTTCAAGAAACACGTGTAAAATGTGCTCCTCCACCGTACTTGGCAACTGTAACTTAACATACTAGTAAGTCGGTATGCCTTACCAAGAAATATGCAGTGTTGATAGGAGATATTACGTCATTAAGAGTGTAGAAGTACACACACACAAAGGGAAGGTTTCAAAGATGTTTTAGTTGTTTTTAAACCAATGAATTCACTTTAAACCTGTCATTTTGATACAGGGATTTTGAACACAACCTTAGTCTGGCATGACATTTTGGTTTTTATTTTGTAGCTACTGTTCAAACAAATACAATACTAAATGATTATCAGTGTGTCTGTTGTAAACTTACATTTCAGTATTGTAACATCTCACAGTTTTCTTATTGTGTATTTTCTTGTTTATTTGTCCAAAATTTTAAGAAATCGATTTTAAACTGAGTAAAATAAGCTAAACAAATACAGTTTTTGAAGGCTAAACCACTCAATGAAAATATGATACAGCTTTTGCATTATTTCCTTTTTTTCCTCCCCAAATTAGGCCTTTACACAAAACTAAACTTTGTGATCCACTCCAAAATTCCCAAAAGGCTAATCATGTGCTGGGAGACAAATGTTAATGTCAGTTAATGTTGTATATGTGGATGTGTATTCACAGTCTTACCTGTGAGGGAGGTGTCAGAGATAGGCGTGTCATTTAGAAACCATGCAGCCTGGACTCGGTCCACCCTCCTGCCCTCTATGCTCACTGTCACCCTGCCCTTTTGACCGACAGTCACGTGTGGAGGGAGGATGATCCCAGACACAGTCAGAGATTTCTGTTTCTCTAAGTTGGGGATGAAAGAATGCAGATAAAGGAATCTGTGTGTGGGGGTGGGGGTGTCAGGTATTGTGAAGTAATTACAGGGTAAGAAATCTGCATTGTTTTGAGATCAGCAGAAAAAGGTGTACTTGAATCCAAAGCCGGTTTCTCTAAACCTGCTGGATCAAGTGTTCCTTTGTGTTCCCTTGTGTTTCTGTTTACTTTACTATAACTAACATGCTTGTTAGTTGAAATGGTTTACCCGGATGACAGAAGCAGAGTTGTTGCAGTGTCATTCTTTGGTTTTGGCTTTAAAGGGGATGATTCAAAGCAAGAAAGAAGACTTTTGACTGAAACTGGTCCTTTATGAAGTCAATTTATTATTTTTTTCAAATATGGCTCTCCGAGAATATACCTGTGCTTCGATACATGAAGCAGGACCTTGTATCCAATTATTTACCTGAGGGGGGTCGCAAGATAATTTATTGAGTGACAATAGTTTCAATGTTTTACCTTTTAAAGCTAAAGATAAGATAACACATTCTTAAAGGGAAGATGTCATTTTGTGTGGCTAGTTGCATGTACCACTGCTGTAATTTCAAGGGCCCTTCTGACTCACCATCCCTTCTCCTCCAAGAAAACCCAAAACAGAGCAGGAACACCAGCACAATAGAAATAGACATCATAGCCACTGATGCTTTGGCAGATTTGGTCAACACTGGTGCCTCATCTGAAAGGAAACAGACTCAAACTCTTATAAAGAACCAAAATAAAGAAGAAAAAAAAGTTGCAAACAAATGAGATATTTCTTCCAAAGTTTTTTATGTTTGTATTTCTTAAAAGTTTTCCTTAGCATCTGATTTAAGAGGTGTATGCGTCAAATGTGAAAAATATTCAAATGAATATAATATAAAAGACTGAATGCGACAAATGGGTGTGGTCTTGTGTATTGTCCTGTGCAAAAAAAGTCTCTTAAAATATCTAAAACCATACCTCTGGGATCCAGTAACTCTAGAAACGATGAGCCACTCACTGGGTGCAATACCCCGGGTTGGTTTACTGCACACTCCACCTTCCCACCTTGCTCTCTCTGCTCTGCACTTAAAGTATAATAGCGCCTGGTTCTAAGGGTCCCATCAGGGTTTTGGTCAGTGGTAGGGGGCTCGGGGAGGACTGTACCATTTTGAAGCCATGACACAGACACTTCCTCTGGGTAGAAACTCTCCACGTCACAGTAAAGAGTGAGAGGAATGTTGTCCGATTTGGATGACACGGCAGAAAGCTTGACAGAAGGGAGATCTGAGGAGTGATTGAAAACATAATCATCAGTAGAACAAAAAACCTTTGTGAAAGCTGCGCAGAAATAATTGATGGAACTTGATTTTCTAGTCCTACCCAGTAAAAAAAAATGTGATGACTCATTCAATTAATTTATAATGATGGAATGTGTCTCTCACTCACAGGTGATATTGAGTTGGAAATCCAGTTCTTGATGCCGTCCACCATGTGATACATGGCACCCAAAGGTCACATTCTGGTCCTCACGAGAAGGAAAGAAGGTCAAGTTGCCAATAGCCATGTAGTACCCATCTGGAGTCAGTTCACCTTCAACAATATATGAAGGTTGAATCACTTGCCCGTCTCTGATCCAAGAGAAAGACACAGGAGGAGGGTAGAAACTGTCTGCGCTGCACTTAAGCTGGCTTTCTGTTTCCAACACCACCCACTGCTGCGGGACAGACAGAATGGGGGAGGCTAAAAAAGGGATAGAAGAAGAACATTTGGTAAAATCAAAGAATACAAAAGCTTAAATGTGCACTAAGTAAATCCTTGAATCTCAACAATGACATACCTAGGATACTAAATGTAGTGTTACTGAAATGCAGCATTGTGGAGTTGTAGCTAATGGTGCATTCATACAGCCCCTGCAGTTCGAGACTGGCTCGGAGGATGGTCAGTGAAAAGTCCCCATTGATGAAATCACCGGTGTCCCAGCGAAAGCCTTCCTTTATTTGCGTCACAGCTTGAGTGAATGAGGCAATGTCAGAGCCGTTTTTTGTCCAGCCAGCTTTGATGAGAGACTTGTCTATTTTGTCCACATAAGGGGGTATCGTCACATTGCAGGGGAGGGTGGCATTTGAATTTGGGCTGGCTTGTATTCCAGATGGAGACACTGAAGGAGAAAGACACATTTTAGATGTAGAGAGAAACAGAGCCTTTACATTAATGAGGCTTCTTTCTCTCTTCTCAGTAAGGTCTGTAGATATTCATAGATTGGCCCTTGATATGAATGGTGAGTCTGATATCCTACTGAAGTTATAAAAATACACAAAACAGAGGGGAGTATAATATAAATCTCAGTTTAATACTTTAATGTAATCAAACAAGTTTCTTACTCTACTCAAGCAAACATGTAACACTAGTAATTTATGCTAACATGTTTCCCATGCTACCCGGTTATCTTCCCCAGCTATATTATACACATTAAACACACACTAAACATTATGGTGACCTCTCTCAACAATGTTTTTTCCCCTAGGTTATTCAATGTACACGTCCCTACTTTAGTATGTTGAAGTCACCCACCTACTTATTGGAGCCTACTGAACCCAGACAAACCTACTTCCTCATGTTATCAGGCTGTTTTCTTGACTTTGGAGTGAACATATTTTAACCTTCAAACTGCACTAATTTTTACTATCAACATAGCCCTTAACAATTTAAGTTAACAGGACAGGACCCCTGGAACATGGGAATGACTAGACCAGCTAACATGGGTGTTACTCTTATGAGGCAATAAATCATCAAAAAAAGATATGATCTTCCTCCTACATGTCAAAATGAGATCCCTTTAAGCAATAAAGCCCACTTTGTACAGCAGAAGCTTTGCTTCCATGGTCTAACTTATTCCGGTGTGACATTTAGACTAACTAATATCTGCTAATGTTAGCAAAACAAGATTAGGCTGTAAAACTGACATTTATGAGTCAGACAGCTTTGACTCTGTAGTTGTGCTTATGTAAAAACAGACAACAAATACATGTAGGTAGTTTTATAACAGATTTAAAACAAGGCTTAAAATATAGTACCAAACTAGAATTTAAGCTAATTGTCCCTACAGCCAAAATACAATCTGCAATACAACTACAAAAAAACCCAATATAACATCTTATCTCAGGCTTGGTAAACACTTGTGAAGTTTCTTTATGTAACTTAGAACGTGTCTAAAGAAAGAGCAGTTTTGTGAAAATATCCACTTCACATTCTTTCTTTTTACCCCCAATTGTAAATCAATAATCAAGGTACACTTCCTTGAATCAGTGTAAATATAAAGCCTTTAAGTCTTGTCTGGCCACGCATTCAGCTTAATTAGTAACTAGTACAATAAATACTTGTCGGCAGGTATAAAGCTGAGCACTTAAGAATTTCTCTTGTGTGAAGTGTTTATGTTGCACTCCTTGAGACTAATTATCAACTTTAGTGAAGTGAATTCTTTACTTTGGGTAAGTATGTATTTTTACAACAAAAGAAAGAAATGGTCTCAGCATGAGAGCAGAAAACATCATACTGATGCACCAACGAAACAACACTTTCTTAAACTTTGATCAACATTTAGATCTATTTCAGTTCTTTAAAACATTCAGGTAATTTGTTTGGGTCTGAGATTTTCTACTGTATCAAAGGATGATCAAATTTTAAATCTTGAAACTATCGTAATTACGGTCTTTACATTATTTTATTTTTGTAATGCATACAGGAAAGTGTGCAGTAGTTTCTCTTATTGACAGTAAAACATTTAAACTGTTATTTCAACTGAATGAGTTTATTCTTTACAGCCTAGGCTGGACAGGGAGCAAAATTGTTTATCACTGTATGACATATTGCAATATCGTTTGTCATATTAAATAATATAGATGTAAAATTGTACATTTTTGTTAGAAATTCAAATGAGAGACATTTTGGGAAATAGCCACATTGGAATGTGCAGTTTTTTGCCATTATTTGTATTTTAAAACTTTACAAACACACACAGCACTTTATATTATTATATAGACAAATCCTGATAACTCCACCAATGCATGAAGCAGTCCTATAAGCAGCCATATCAGTATTATAGCAGAGGACATGTCTGAACCTAACTGGTATAAAATTACTTAAATCTAAAACACAAAAATGCCTTATACTTAAACTAATAGTGGTATCACTCTTGGTATGCCATATTACAAAAAAAAAGTAGGTCAGGTACATGCTGACACTAATATGTCAGAATTTGACCACAATGCATCAGTACTTTTAAACTTACTTTAAGAATTGGACCACAATGCATTAGTACTCTAACACTTACTTAAACTTCCACTCAGTTAAATAAAACATATCACAGCTACACAAACAAATGATTCACATCAGGACTGTAAAATGTCTTGTACCTGGCCTGAATATTCAGAGCCCACCTGAGATAGCTCAAATGTTGTCATTAGGTGAAGAATCAACAATGCAGCTTTGTGACAGCCCATTGAATGTAATGACACATTACTCACCATGCTTTATGAGAGTCAGGAAGACGACGTAGATGAGGACTTTACACCGCATGGCCAAGCTTGTCTTGAGTCCAGGATCTTATCATCGGGCCCTTTTGCTGTCTTATATAGAGCTTTGAGGTGACAGGGGGCGTGTTCATCCAGCCACATGGGAAATAAGAAATATTGTCCCTGGGCCTCCAAGGAGTGAAAGGAAGCCCTTGATATATGGCGTCCTCTTAAACGAGCAAGCCCAAGAGCACTGACAGAGCGAAAAGGGAAGGGAGAGATGTGCAGAGACACACAAGTGGGCAAACAGGTCACTTAAAATTCAGACAGGCCTCTGGCCAAGTTTTTGGGGCTACTTTACATTGGTGCAGTGTTCCTATGAACAAATGGAGAGGGTAATCCTGCTGAGCTTATGTGGGCAAACACTCAGGCAAGACTACAACTCTTTTATATCAGGGTAAAAAGTTAGTGTGGTGTTGAATTTGGAGAATAAAAACTTTCTGCACAGACTTTTTGTCTCTCCACACAGCTCCTGCTGTAATCACCCCTTTGATTGGAGTTAATTTTTAGCCAGAACAAGTGATTGATGTTTGCAGCAAAAGGTGCAGTCTTTTTCACCCCCTTTCAGAATATGTTTTAGTTTGTTTAACTCTGCTCTTGGCCACATTGAATGTGGTCGTTTTTTATTTGCAGTTCACACAGGGTATCTGTGTCACAGAGTTGAAGTGTTGGCTCTGACAGCTTTCTTTTCTCTCGTAATCTGCTCTTCTCTAGTTTCTTTAGGGAGAGACAAAAGTTGGGCTGGAAAGTGATTAGAAGAAGTGATTAATGTGTTCCATTTCTTTGTTTGTGTTTGGTACTTTGGTGCTCAAACTGTTACGACTAGTACAAAATCTGGACCCAAAAGCACGACTCAGACAGGCAAGATATAGGTACAAAAAGTTTATTCCAAACGTGACTCGAAAAGGTGCAAGGTGCAAGGGGGGAGGGGTAGTGCGAGGTCCCAAATGGCAGTGTCCGTGATCCCAGTGGTGTCCAAAAATGCACAGGTGAGGTGAAGAAAACACAAAAGGCGATCTGGGGCAAGGCAGAGAAGGCAGGCCTTATGTTTTGGCTGCTGAGCTGGCAGCGGCCGGCGGCGGCCAGCAATATAGCAATATAGCTGTGAGACAGTTGCTGCCGACAGGCCGGTTTGGTGCTGCGGTGGCCCCGCAAAATCGTCATTTTGCGTCACTGGAAGCTCCTTTTCAGACTTAGAAATACAAAGATTTCCCATCTCAGGGGAAAATGAGGGCAGGATGCACGACCATTCAAAAATACTACCAGGTTTAAAGTATCCCTTTAAAGAAGTTGTGTCCAAACACATTGATGTGTTATAATTATAACCCATTCATGTAATTTATAAAGACATCCATGTTAATATATAATTATTATATAATGTATTACAAAAATGGTGACAGGCCTTCGGTTGCTGAGAAGGAATCAAATCAAGCTCGCAACAAGTCTTTGGGGAAAACTGTATAGAAGTAAAGAAGTAGAAGTAAAAAACATATTGATGTCGCCAAAATAAAACCAGCACAATCTCATCCTGTATGACAGTTAAGAAAGGAAGGAAAGGCCATTTAAACTATTGGCTTGTTATCACTTGACACATGAAAAAGGAATGCACTCTTTAGTTCATTTTGTTTTGTTATAAAGTGATAAATGGTGAATTCACAACATAACATAATATATGACCTGTACTTTGGTTACCACTGTAGGAACATTTTGAATGTGTTAAGATAAAGGAATTACTTTGAGGCAATTTCCCAGATGAAGCCTGAGGTATCTCGAGAAACAGGTTTGAGTAGGGAGTGGGTACTATAAACAACGCACAAGTGTGGCTGAGGACAAAGCAAGAAGCTATATTAAAAATCAGACAGTCAGTAACAGCACAGTATGGCAGCCTCGACTGAATGGATACTCATCTTGTGTATAGTACTGACTGGACAAGGTGAGCTTTTACACAGAGTTTACACTTGAAACTCTATCTATTAGCATTCTATTATAGGACAGTTTAAACACATTTTCAAGAATAACATATTTAACAAATATATAATTGAACAGTCATTGAGAAGAACCGAATCAATATCAGTTGTAAGGTCTGTACCGTCTACCAATTTATGTGTAATACATTATATTTGTTGCTTTTGTTACTTAGTTATCCGTATTCTGACTTCCGTATTGACTTTATTTTTGTAAAGCTTAGCCTTTGATTAATTTATTAAGCTAAAAAGATGAAAGGGGAAGGACAGGATAAGTTATTTAACTTCATCCTCCTCCCTTTTCGAACGTGGACTGGTTAAGGAAAAAAATCGAGCCACTACAGAAAGTATGTTTGATTGTTGTTTGCTTTGTTTGTAATGTATACTTTTATTTTATTTTTAAAACATGTTTAAAATAAAATGAAAATGAATTAAATGGAATTGTTATTAACTATTAGTAACTATTTTTAAAAAATACATATTTACATATATGTTTGGTATATTGATTTCCAACAAACATATAACATGTGTTGTACTTAAAAAATAAAGATTGTGTTCATGTATGTCTCACATATGAGTATTTGCAAATGGACTGGGCATTTTTGGCATAAATTGCTCATTTCATGTAATAATGATAATGATCAATAAATCATCCAGAATGAGAGATTACATATATGATTATTACAAATCGCATGAAAATATGCATACTCTTGCTACTTCACTTTAAAACTAATTTGCAGAAGCATAAAAAATAAAAAAATTGTATTACAAATTCTGTAAACAACACATTAAACCAGGTGGCAAGCACACTCCTTATTTTGTTAGTTTCATCCTGTTTACAGTCTATGGTTCTAACACGTTTTTAGAACATAGAAACATTACAATTAACATTGACCCATTTTCTGTTATTTGTGGGGTTTTTTCAGTTCCTTCCTTAGAAAAAAGGGTGTGGTAGGCTATTTTCTACAGCTTCACCTGTCAACACACCTGCTCCAAGGACATAACAATGTTTAAATGTTGCCTGTCAAAGTAAAACAAAAAATATTTATTGTCTTAAACTTGAGTTAAAAAAAACAAGATTGACTTTAAGGCTTACTATGCGATTTTTTGATCCAGCAGATGTCGCCCTTGAGCATGAAACCAAAACAACTCACGCTGCATTGTTGTGTTAGCATGCTAATGCTAGTGATCTTTATCATGCTCGTATCTTCACACTGCATGTAAATTTACCTGAAATGACCGTGATCTAGAAACACAGTTAAGCAGTGAGTTATTCTTCTTTTCTCTAATTCCTCAATTAAACAACTTTTATACGCGAGGGGATGAGCCGGTCGGCCGTCCTGACGATGTAAACAAACTGAAGATAGGACTCGGAAAACTCGGAAAACATCACAGAGTTATTTTCAGAGGATATACTTGATTTCCATTACATTTAAGTGTGAAAAGTTGCATATTAAGCCTTTAAGGCAATTCAATTTAAGTACAACAATTAAACACTCAACAAACCTCCATAAACTGTACTTCACTAGATGACCCCTGTAGAAAGTTTTACGGACTTTCTGAACAAAATTGTTGATATAATCAGCTGCTGTTGCGTATAATTCTAAGTAATGCATAAATGTTACAAATCCTAAATACTAAGCCCACCTTGTTATTTAAAATAATGTTTTATGCCCCACTTTAATTGCATGCCAGAGAGCCAATTTGGCTCTGACTTGTTTCATTGGTATGGTAAACTGTTGATTACCAAACCAAGATATATTTGCTGTTGAAGTTCAAAAAGTCTGGGAAGCATGCCTAGACATTTTACTGACCATGTTAATGTTGAAACATTAAATCAATTTTTCACGGATATGTTAATGCACAGTTCCTTCAGGCTCATGCAACAGATGGAGTTTTAAGGCGTTGCTTGAACTCTACCACCACCCTGTGTCTGTGTTCGTTATCTACACTACTGACAAATATCCATGTAAAAGTTAATGTGTTAAGCAATTAAAGACACAAACATTGAGGTAAACAGATGTAAGTAACTTGCATATTCCTCTTTTCTGCAGGGTCAAAGGCACAGGGTAAGTATGGTCACAATTATTCCCAGTTAGTAAATGCTCTTAATGATGTAATATGGTCAGTACATACACTGCCGTAACAAGCAGAACACATACAGCAGCAAATGAATGCACTATTTCCCCTGAAACACTATTTGCTCTGTCAGACTGTGGAGTGGCACCTTTGAGGACAAAGATAGTGGGTGGTGACACTACCACAGCTGGGTCATGGCCCTGGCAGGTCAGTGTGCACTTTCAATCGAGTGCAAATCGAGCACACATCTGTGGAGGGACCCTCATCACCGACCAGTGGGTCGTCACAGCGGCTCACTGCATCTTATCGTAAGATGTTTTCTTATTTTCTATGCTTACAATTCGCAGTCCCAAAACATTCAAAGTCTTCACAGGTTTAAGTATTAATAATACAGTAACTATGCTTCCGGAAAAACAGATAAGAAAAAATATTGAATAGAAAAATACTTTTTAACTAGATAACAGACAGTTAGAAGATACTGTCTAGTTCGGTCCAGTATTATTGTGTTGTCTTGTTTGTGTTTTATGATGTAAAGCCACCTTGGGTCCCTTGTAAGGCGTTTAATAAATTATTATTTTTTAACATTTTATAATGTCTGACTTTTCTTTCATACAACAGCATTTTAAAAAAAACTTGGCTTGTTTTACATAAACAAACACATGTTAAAGTTTTAGGAGGAGCTTTTATTTTTTTTTAATTGCATGGTGGTCTTTGCCTCCTGGATTAATTCTCTACAATTACCATCCCTGACATTCAGGTCAGCCTTTTGCTTACTTTGACTGTCAACTGCGTTTACTTTCATTGTGTTAGCACAGCCATTCAGCAAATTAAACACACATCCAATCAAGACTGAACACAGGAGTTTGTCTTTGTAGAAGTCCTTGTGAAATTTGATTTCATGAGCAAAAGATAAATCAGAGGTATTGTAGGGATGAAACAGCTTCTCAAAGGTAGCCTATAGATTACTTTGCTGTTAACTTGGTCCTATTTTCTGTAAAATTCACACTGAAAGTAAGACTCAGTGAGAATGGCCCTTTTATTCTAAATTTTCTACCAGATTAAGATCAGTGAGATATTCCCCTGCATGTTCCACATATGGAATATCTAACATCAGTGTAGTAGCTCAGCTATGCAGAAAATAAAACACACATCAAACAAAGGTGGAAGACAGAAGTTTGCCTTAGAATGATTGGAGAAAAAGGTCAAACATCAGATCTATTAAACCTTCTGGAAACTATTTAGCAGCCATAGAATAAAGACAGGGGGGCTCCTCATGCAACAGACTTTCAAGTACATTCAATGACTGATTTACTGGAAATTAATCTTTATTTCTTTCTTATTCCAGTACCTTACCTAACGTGTGGACTCTCTACTTCGGAAGAGAAACTCAGGGTGGCCCTAATGTTAATGAGGTGAACCGCTCTGTGTCCCAGGTCATTGTTAATCCTAACTATAACGACACTTTATTTAACAACGACATCGCCCTCATGAAGCTTACCAGCCCTGTCAATTTCACCGACTACATCAGACCTATCTGCCTGGCAAGTAACTCCAGCCAATTCCACAATTCCACCCTCTGCTGGGCCACTGGCTGGGGCAGAACGGGAAAGGATGGTGAGTATCTGGATGGAGTACATCAAGCTCAGACAGAGTTAGCATTCAGACTTGTGAGGACTGTCACTGAACTTTGAGCCAAAACTAAGGTGATTCTTGTGGCAATGTCTATCAGTAGGGCAACCAATTTGGTCCAGACCCAAATATGTTAACATATATTGAATGGATTGCCAATAGAAATACTAAAATGTTTATATTCACCAGAAAACCAGATACCTTCTAATCATATTAGCACACTCACACAGGCATTTCCTTATTGCATGGATGTTCCCAGGCAGCAGTACAAAGGTCCGTCTCTGCCATCTACATACTCCATGATGTTTTGGTAATTCAGGAGTGCACTGTCACAGAAACAAAGTATTGAAGAAATTATTTGAGATGAGATGAGATGAGATGAGATTCAACTTTATTGTCATTACACATATACAAGTATAGAGTAACGAAATGAGGTTTGGCATCTCACCAGAAGTGCAAATAAGCAGAAAGTGCAAGAGTCTGTGCTATGTACAGTAATTACAAAATTTACAGATGTAGACAAAAAAAAGTGAATTATTAGGTAAATCTGGATGGCTGGATTAATGGGATGCAATAAATATAAATAAATGCTATAAATAAGTAATGCTACAAAATAAGTGTGTTTTTAGGATTATAATATACAGATTAAGGTGCAGTGAGCATGCTATACTAATAATATACAGATTAAGATGCAGTGAGCATGCTATACTAGTTTACAGATAATATAAAGAATATGGACATAATATGAACATACTATAATACAATAATACAGATGGATGAGAGATGTGTGTGTGTGACCAGGAAGAGTGGTGGGGGGATTATGGGTGTGAGGTGATATGCAGGGGAAAGGGGGGGGGTCAGCAGGGGGCGGAGAGAGAGAGGGAGAGAGAGAGAGAGACAGAGTTCAGAGTTCGGGGGGGTAGAGTTCAGTAGAGAAACAGCTCTGGGGAAAAAGCTGTTCCTCAGTCTGCTGGTTCTGGTCCGGAGGCTTCTGAAGCGCCTGCCGGAGGGCAGGAGGGTAAACAGTCTGTGGGCAGGGTGGGAGGAGTCTTTAAGGATGCCATGAGCTCGCAGACAGCGTGTTCTTTGGACATCCTCAATGGCAGGAAGTGGACACCTTGTGATGCGCTGAGCGGTTTTTACCACCCGCTGTAGCGCCTTACGGTCTGTTACAGAGCAGTTTCCGTACCAGACTGAGACACTGAGAAGATAAACAAAACAGAATGCTTTATGCATAGCAGGAAAAAAACATTTACTGGCCCAAAGACACAATGTCATTTTTTTATTATTTTGTTTCTATTTTAGTCCGAGACCATTAAATAAAATCCACTTAAACTGTGTAAAAGTATAACAAAATATATAACTCGTGATTTCATATTTCCTCCCACAGAGCCCCTCCAAGCCTTTGATAAACTACAGGAGGTCCAGATTCCTGTCGTTGGAAATAAGCAATGCACCTGCAACTACAAGCCAGAACCACTCGCAAACATCACTGACAAAATGATTTGTGCTGGGCAGGAGAACAAAGGAGCATGTCAGGTTAGAACAACATCTTATTAAATCAGGAGAGACTTCCGGAAATTTCCCAAAAAGAGAATTATTCGCACATAAATTAGAATAATTTCTTTAATCTTATTAATTCATTTCTAACTTCAATCTTTTTCCTGTTAAGATGTTATTGCCCATGAGAATGTGTAACCCAGGCTAATTAAGTTTTAATCCATGCATTTTTACCAGAAGCGTCATTAACTCTGTTTTGTCCCCTCTGTTTTAGGGAGACTCTGGTGGACCTTTGCAATGCAAACAAGGTTCAGTGTGGATCCAGGCGGGCATAGCTAGTTTTGGAGTGCCTTGTGCTCTGGCTAATTTCCCTGAAGTTTATTCCCGAGTTTCTGAATTCCAGACATGGATCATGGATCAAGTGGCTGGGGCAAATGTTAGCTTTGTGACCTTCACCTCCAATGGCACTGACCCAGACAGCAGCTTTGACTGTCGCAGTTCAGACTCTGTAAATGCAACGACAGCACCAGCCAGGGCAACAACAAGTGAAAGTGAGATTATATTGGTTCTCATGGCAACATTCTTCCAGCTTTACATTTGATCTCTATAGCATTGTGATGGACGTCTTCATGAATTGATATTCTGTTGGGCAATATTTGAATGATTGTACATGATCTAGGTGTCAATGCACTGTATTGCAGGCAGAGAACTATAATTGCTCTTAATTCATGACTTGCAATTATTTCTTATCCTATTTGTTAAATTGTATTACTAACAAACTTGATTTAATACAGACATCTTGTATGACATACCAATCAATTTTATCATTTGGACTACAAAGCACTAAACAATGTAACCAATAATAATAAACAGATATATAATACAAGATTTGTATTGCTTTATTAGTCACAGTGGGTTGACACAACAAAACTCTTGACCTTATTAACCCTCAAACAATAAAGGGTTAGAATCACTGATAACAATAAATTAAGGACCTGATATAAGATATTTCTAGATGTTCATTGTTACCAATAAACATTTACTGTAGTTTGAACACAATGGGATGTGTATAACTTTTGCAGGTATCTTTGTGAAAACAGCCGCATTGAAATGCTGCAAATGGTGAGTTGTTTGTTATAAAGAGTAGGAGTGGCCTTTAGCATAGGCATTATCATGTCAAATTAGCAGTGTTAGCACATTAGTTGGCATTGTCCCTTGTAATGATAACTCGGTAGTGCATGAGTGGCACACCTTTCTCAAGTCATGATAGTGGTTTCAAATAAAAAGGTTAGTCGGCTGTCATGATTTGGTTTTGTATTTTGTATATTTTCAGTGTTTCATTCTTTCCTAGTGTTGCTTGTTTCCCTTGTGTTAATGTGTCCTTGTGTATGTTTAGTCTTTAGTGTTTCCTGGGTTCTTTTGTAATTTCTTCTCCTTGTGTCTCTCGGTGTTCTAGTGTGTTTTGTTACAGTCTTGAATTCTCTATGTTTCATGATTTAGATTATAGTAGTCCCCAGTGTTGTCTTTACTCCTGCCTCTGTGTGTCCTCACCTGTGTCTTGTTAGTCTCACCTGTGTTTGATTATCCCTGTCTATTTAGTCTCAGTGTTCCTTCCCTTGTGTTGTCAAATGTTGTAAGTCAGATGGTGTTAGTTGTCAGTCTACGTCGGTCGTCGTCTACCAGTGTTTTCCTTATGGCTCTTGATTTTCTCCTTGTGGATTTTTAGTTTAGTTTTTGAAGAAAGTAAGTTTTGTTTGCCATTGGCCATTTTGTTTAAATAAATCCTTTAAATTTAATCGTGCACTTGGGTCCATCTCTTTTCCAACCATTCCAAGGTAAGTGAAAAGTTAGTGGTTGGTTATTCCAGTACCTTACCTAACGTGTGGACTCTCTACTTCGGAAGAGAAACTCAGGGTGGCCCTAATGTTAATGAGGTGAACCGCTCTGTGTCCCAGGTCATTGTTAATCCTAACTATAACGACACTTTATTTAACAACGACATCGCCCTCATGAAGCTTACCAGCCCTGTCAATTTCACCGACTACATCAGACCTATCTGCCTGGCAAGTAACTCCAGCCAATTCCACAATTCCACCCTCTGCTGGGCCACTGGCTGGGGCAGAACGGGAAAGGATGGTGAGTATCTGGATGGAGTACATCAAGCTCAGACAGAGTTAGCATTCAGACTTGTGAGGACTGTCACTGAACTTTGAGCCAAAACTAAGGTGATTCTTGTGGCAATGTCTATCAGTAGGGCAACCAATTTGGTCCAGACCCAAATATGTTAACATATATTGAATGGATTGCCAATAGAAATACTAAAATGTTTATATTCACCAGAAAACCAGATACCTTCTAATCATATTAGCACACTCACACAGGCATTTCCTTATTGCATGGATGTTCCCAGGCAGCAGTACAAAGGTCCGTCTCTGCCATCTACATACTCCATGATGTTTTGGTAATTCAGGAGTGCACTGTCACAGAAACAAAGTATTGAAGAAATTATTTGAGATGAGATGAGATGAGATGAGATTCAACTTTATTGTCATTACACATATACAAGTATAGAGTAACGAAATGAGGTTTGGCATCTCACCAGAAGTGCAAATAAGCAGAAAGTGCAAGAGTCTGTGCTATGTACAGTAATTACAAAATTTACAGATGTAGACAAAAAAAAGTGAATTATTAGGTAAATCTGGATGGCTGGATTAATGGGATGCAATAAATATAAATAAATGCTATAAATAAGTAATGCTACAAAATAAGTGTGTTTTTAGGATTATAATATACAGATTAAGGTGCAGTGAGCATGCTATACTAATAATATACAGATTAAGATGCAGTGAGCATGCTATACTAGTTTACAGATAATATAAAGAATATGGACATAATATGAACATACTATAATACAATAATACAGATGGATGAGAGATGTGTGTGTGTGTGACCAGGAAGAGTGGTGGGGGGATTATGGGTGTGAGGTGATATGCAGGGGAAAGGGGGGGGGGTCAGCAGGGGGCGGAGAGAGAGAGGGAGAGAGAGAGAGAGACAGAGTTCAGAGTTCGGGGGGGGTAGAGTTCAGTAGAGAAACAGCTCTGGGGAAAAAGCTGTTCCTCAGTCTGCTGGTTCTGGTCCGGAGGCTTCTGAAGCGCCTGCCGGAGGGCAGGAGGGTAAACAGTCTGTGGGCAGGGTGGGAGGAGTCTTTAAGGATGCCATGAGCTCGCAGACAGCGTGTTCTTTGGACATCCTCAATGGCAGGAAGTGGACACCTTGTGATGCGCTGAGCGGTTTTTACCACCCGCTGTAGCGCCTTACGGTCTGTTACAGAGCAGTTTCCGTACCAGACTGAGACACTGAGAAGATAAACAAAACAGAATGCTTTATGCATAGCAGGAAAAAAACATTTACTGGCCCAAAGACACAATGTCATTTTTTTATTATTTTGTTTCTATTTTAGTCCGAGACCATTAAATAAAATCCACTTAAACTGTGTAAAAGTATAACAAAATATATAACTCGTGATTTCATATTTCCTCCCACAGAGCCCCTCCAAGCCTTTGATAAACTACAGGAGGTCCAGATTCCTGTCGTTGGAAATAAGCAATGCACCTGCAACTACAAGCCAGAACCACTCGTAAACATCACTGACAAAATGATTTGTGCTGGGCAGGAGAACAAAGGAGCATGTCAGGTTAGAACAACATCTTATTAAATCAGGAGAGACTTCCGGAAATTTCCCAAAAAGAGAATTATTCGCACATAAATTAGAATAATTTCTTTAATCTTATTAATTCATTTCTAACTTCAATCTTTTTCCTGTTAAGATGTTATTGCCCATGAGAATGTGTAACCCAGGCTAATTAAGTTTTAATCCATGCATTTTTACCAGAAGCGTCATTAACTCTGTTTTGTCCCCTCTGTTTTAGGGAGACTCTGGTGGACCTTTGCAATGCAAACAAGGTTCAGTGTGGATCCAGGCGGGCATAGCTAGTTTTGGAGTGCCTTGTGCTCTGGCTAATTTCCCTGAAGTTTATTCCCGAGTTTCTGAATTCCAGACATGGATCATGGATCAAGTGGCTGGGGCAAATGTTAGCTTTGTGACCTTCACCTCCAATGGCACTGACCCAGACAGCAGCTTTGACTGTCGCAGTTCAGACTCTGTAAATGCAACGACAGCACCAGCCAGGGCAACAACAAGTGAAAGTGAGATTATATTGGTTCTCATGGCAACATTCTTCCAGCTTTACATTTGATCTCTATAGCATTGTGATGGACGTCTTCATGAATTGATATTCTGTTGGGCAATATTTGAATGATTGTACATGATCTAGGTGTCAATGCACTGTATTGCAGGCAGAGAACTATAATTGCTCTTAATTCATGACTTGCAATTATTTCTTATCCTATTTGTTAAATTGTATTACTAACAAACTTGATTTAATACAGACATCTTGTATGACATACCAATCAATTTTATCATTTGGACTACAAAGCACTAAACAATGTAACCAATAATAATAAACAGATATATAATACAAGATTTGTATTGCTTTATTAGTCACAGTGGGTTGACACAACAAAACTCTTGACCTTATTAACCCTCAAACAATAAAGGGTTAGAATCACTGATAACAATAAATTAAGGACCTGATATAAGATATTTCTAGATGTTCATTGTTACCAATAAACATTTACTGTAGTTTGAACACAATGGGATGTGTATAACTTTTGCAGGTATCTTTGTGAAAACAGCCGCATTGAAATGCTGCAAATGGTGAGTTGTTTGTTATAAAGAGTAGGAGTGGCCTTTAGCATAGGCATTATCATGTCAAATTAGCAGTGTTAGCACATTAGTTGGCATTGTCCCTTGTAATGATAACTCGGTAGTGCATGAGTGGCACACCTTTCTCAAGTCATGATAGTGGTTTCAAATAAAAAGGTTAGTCGGCTGTCATGATTTGGTTTTGTATTTTGTATATTTTCAGTGTTTCATTCTTTCCTAGTGTTGCTTGTTTCCCTTGTGTTAATGTGTCCTTGTGTATGTTTAGTCTTTAGTGTTTCCTGGGTTCTTTTGTAATTTCTTCTCCTTGTGTCTCTCGGTGTTCTAGTGTGTTTTGTTACAGTCTTGAATTCTCTATGTTTCATGATTTAGATTATAGTAGTCCCCAGTGTTGTCTTTACTCCTGCCTCTGTGTGTCCTCACCTGTGTCTTGTTAGTCTCACCTGTGTTTGATTATCCCTGTCTATTTAGTCTCAGTGTTCCTTCCCTTGTGTTGTCAAATGTTGTAAGTCAGATGGTGTTAGTTGTCAGTCTACGTCGGTCGTCGTCTACCAGTGTTTTCCTTATGGCTCTTGATTTTCTCCTTGTGGATTTTTAGTTTAGTTTTTGAAGAAAGTAAGTTTTGTTTGCCATTGGCCATTTTGTTTAAATAAATCCTTTAAATTTAATCGTGCACTTGGGTCCATCTCTTTTCCAACCATTCCAAGGTAAGTGAAAAGTTAGTGGTTGGTGGATGAAAAAGCTTAGTTATTGTGATTCATCCTGGGTCACGGTCCTTATTTATGTTTTCACATTAAGTCTAAAAAGGTTTCTTCCTTTTTTTTGATCGAGGGGTTTTGTGCTATTAAAGTAACCTCAGTTAGAGATGTTTAAGTCTTATGTCACTCCAGCATGTTCATGCTGTTTATAACCTTAAGGTAATGTTGCACTCAGCAGCAAAAAGAAGCAAATAAACAAGAAGGGTAAGTACTTTATTCCTGGTACCAGTATAAATCATGTACTGTTTCGATGGAATCAGACCAAGGAGGAAAGTACAAGTTGTGTAAAAACAGTGTAGGAATCTTCACCTGAAAAAAAAGTAAGGGAATGGAGGCAGACATTTTTAGGATCTTCTAGCTGCAGAAACAACCCCAAAGGAAAGTTTTCTTCCATCTTTTCCTTCAATTTCTACCAAGATGCTGTAAAAGTGCTGTATTGTGGTGCCTATGACAACACAATCTTTCCATGGTGATGTGATGGTGGGAATAAAATGGAAAGGAAATTGAGTGTCCATAATTAATAAGCGTGGTTAGCCACGAACAATGAGTCTCCACCGGCGGTGCTGGCTCCAGATGAAACATATTTTCCCTGGCAGGCCAGATTGTTGGCCTGTAGAGGAAAGAAAACAACAATATTATTATGCAGCACAGAGTTTGAGGCTAACAATCCATTAAATTCCCTGAACAAAACTATTTCGCAGCATCTGTGGAACACAATACTATCTAAGGATGTACCTTTTCTTGTACGTTTTGACATTTAATTTATATTCAGACATACCAGCGCTCTCTTGATAAACTCATCCTGGCATGCCTTTCCATTCTCCTTCTTGCCAGCCCAGGCTTTGAGGGCAGAGGCCTGCAGGGCACGGCCATATGAGAAGGTCAGGGCCCAGGGCCTGATCAGAGGGCACTGGTTCATGGCGTTCAGATTGATGGAGGCCTCCTCCTCACTCTGGCCACCAGACAGGAAGGTAATGCCTGTGCAGAGCATGAGAGTTCAGCATTATTCTTCTGTAAACATGTGAGTGAATTTTATGCAAACTATTTAATCTATAGTAAATGATTACGGTAAAACTTAGGCTTTTATGCAGCCTGTCAAACTCACCAGGGACTGCAGGGGGCACAGTGCGTCGCAGGGCGGTGACAGTTGCCATGGCAATCTCCTGGTTGCTGTACTTGTGTGAGCAGGAGTGTCCGGCAGTAACCATGTTGGGCTTGAGCAGAGTGCCCTCCAGGTAGACGTGGTGGTCTGACAGGGCCTTGTAGACAGCAGCAAGGACCTTCTCTGTGACGTACTGGCAGCGCTTCAGGTCGTGGTCACCATCAGGGAGGATCTCAGGCTCAACAATGGGGACGATGCCATGCTGCAGAATACAAAACAAGTAAAAATTAATGTTGAGCATGACTTTTATGCCACGATGTATTGGCTGAGTCATTTCTAAAAGAAATTATTACGCCTACATTCCAGTTAGAAATAACACATATTTCTGAACTGTGCAGAGTTGTCTATGGAGGTTTTCAAAGTTCATCATATCAGTTCCACAAAAAAAACAATACCTATTGTTGTACTGAAAAGTTTCTAACATTGTTCTGGTGTGGTGGTTGCAGAATTAAGGAAGAAAACCTGTCACAATGATTTCTCATTCTTGTCTGTTCTATTTTTACCATCTGGCAGATGCTGGCATAACGGGCCAGGACGTTGGCATTCTCAAGGATGGCCAGCTTTGAGGGAGTGGTCGGGGTGATCTTCAGCACACAGCGCCACTTGGCAAAGTCAGCACCATCCTTCTTGTACTGGGCGCAGCGCTCGTACAGACCATCAAGACCTATGAAAAAGGACGGAGACACGTGGAAAGAAGTCAAAGAAAGGTATTAACAGGTGTTGGCTCTCTTTGTGAAGAACTGTGGGTTTCTTTCTAGTAGTGTTTTATTTTTTGCTTACCCTGGGTGGTTGTCTCGCCATTGGTTCCGGCCAGGGGAACGACACCTTTGTCGACCTTGATGCCCACCACCATGCCTCTTTCTTTGAGGTACTGGGGGAAGGACTTGCCATCATCGGTCTTCTGGTACATGGTCTCATGGAAGAGGATGACGCCACCGATGCATGGGTTGATGCGGTCGTCAGCGGTGAAGAGAAGCTGGCGGTACAGCCTCCTGTTCTCCTCAGTGTTCTCAGCGTTGATGCTCTGGAAGCGCTTGGCAACGCTGCCTAGAGGTTGCAAAGAGATAAGATACATGAAGAGTCGATCCTATGCATAAAATTACCAATTTACTTTTGAGGATGGTACATTTAAAGCTCCTTTGAGGAACTCTGGGTTAATTTTGGTGACCCTTTCTGGACAAAAGCCATGGCTCATATTGCTGTGCTAAATTGTCCTGTACATGTGTAAGTCATTTTTTTAACAAATAATCCTGCTTTCTTTTAACAGTCAAAAATATCCCTCATTGAGCATCTTTACCATTAAACAGGGAGGAAATTACTTCTGAAGCATGCTGTAAATCCTTTTAACTGACACCTACCCCCAGCAGTTCATACATAAAAATCACGATAATCAATCTGGTTGCTGATGTTGTCCCTTGCTTTTGTAGACCATAAATAGGTATTCATATTAGTTTCAGTCTGTTTCAAAACCAGCTAAAAACTTGTCACAGTAGCTTTAAGATGTCCCTTGTTTGAAAATGTGTTAATAGGTATTCCTAACAGAATCATTTTTATACACTTGCCAGCACTTTCAACTGATTTTATTCACAGTTGGTCAGCCTTCATGACTGATTGATGTTTTTTTTTTTTTTTTTTAAATAAATAAAAACAAAATAGATTTTATAGAAATTATTTACCAGTGGACTCGTCTGCAGCGAGGATTCCCTTGCCAGTAGCGACGATCCTCTGAGCAATATCGCTGAGCTCCTTCTTCTGCTCAGGCGTGAGGAAGGGGTATGCGTGAGGCATCCTGACTGTAGGGAGAAGGAGGAAGACAAAAAAAGAGATAATAAGCTCATATTTGGTTGCCTAACAGTGAAGACAAATGGTGCCAGGGCAATGGTTCAACAGAAACCTAGCTGCAAAGTTTAAAATTTGCGGTTCTTGTTCTCATAATGAAAAGCGTGAGAAAGTTCCACATGAAAGGAGAAAAGATAATTTGGTTGCTGTGTCAAGGAAGAAAGTGAAGAAAGTGAAAAGTGAAAAAAGAACCTGATTACCCAGTTTCACATTTGTTTTTGTTTTCTGTGAGTCTCTCTAAACTTCAGCAGGTGTTAGGGACTGTCTGGCTGCAGTTGTTGCAGCTATAGCTGCACCAGCACCTTAAGGAACTTTGTGTGGGGGGTTTCTCAATATTCCCCAGGCACAATATGTAGTAGAACATGGATCCAATGTCAGAGAACCCTCCACCCTCCACAGCCCCACCGTGCACGTATCTGCCCACCATTGAAAAGTCAAGCATGTGGCTGACCTATTCCATTTTCTAGCCTCTTATCCCTGACCTTTCCCGTCCTCCTCACTGCTCTTCAGTCCTAAACCTCTATTACCCAGCCCTCCCACTAACCCCCCCCCCCCCCCCCCCACCTGTGCCTCCACTATCAATAGGCTGGACTAAATATAAACAGCATACCAACACATTGCAGTTTAAGAGCTATGGCTCAGGGGGAAAAAAAGGTTTTCATAAAAGAGAAGTATGTAGCTCCACAGCCTGCTGTTCAGAAGGTATGCACTCTGCAGGAAGTTTAAAATCCAGACAGCAAGGACACATTTAGACATGTTTGAGAAAAGCTTACTTAAGCCACTGAGTCATTAAGGCCTGCTCAGAAACAATGCAATGGAAACTTTGAACCAGAAGAAGGAGGGTGTAGCAACAACTGGTGATGTAATGAAGTCAGCTGAGCCAAAATGTTCAGGAATAGCAACATTTACTTTAACATTATATTTCAAGGAACTTAAATTTTGCTTGCTGCATTTGGAGCTATTTTACTTATTATATGCGATTCAGGTCGTATTTCGTGCTTGTTATATCTTGAAATAAGGACTTGATAGGTGAAACTGGCTTATAATGGCTTGTAATGAGATATTATTTACTTGAAATTATACACCTGGTTAGATATTTGTTTTTAGCAGTGTATATGTGAGCATACATAATAAAGATGGATAGTGGAAAAAGTGCAATTGAAGCATTTTCTATATATATATATATGTAATTGTGAAACTTTGACATTCTCTGTTTTAGTTTATCAGAGGTTAGTATGTAGGAGAGTGTGATGCTGTGGTTGTAACAGTCATGCAGCTCTAGCTGACAGAAACAAAAATAACCACACCAAGTTTACACTGTTGGCTGTGGTGTAGTTCTCACGGTTCTCAAATAATAAGGCATTCCTCTCATGCATTATAAGCACAAAAATGTGAAACAGGTTACAAAAAGTATTACCAAGTCATACAATTATCTCATAGTCACATTTGTATAGTCTTTTACCTTTGAGTTTAGGAGGAGAGCTGAGAGAAGAGAGAGGTAGAGGGAGAAGATCCGGCCTTCGTCTGCGACAACCCCTGCAGCCTGCTGGCCCTTGTATTTATCCTCCCATTGTGACCCCTCACATTTCAGCTGGTCGGCTATAAAAAGAACAGGACGCAACCAGAGACCGCTCGTGACATTCAGAGAGACTAGGGGCTGCAGCAGCATGGTGGTGAGCATCCAATGAAAGGGCAAAGAGTGCTCAGTGAATGGCACAGACAGTGACATAGTAAGGGACAGTAAGAGTGGGTAAGACAAGTAGGAATGTGAGTTTAGTACAAGAGAGGTACAAAATACCACCTGGAAAAAAAAAGAACTAGAAAGACACAAACCTTCCTCCTTTTTTAACAAACATGTACGTCTTCAAAGCACATCTCTGAACCTGTTTTTTTTTAACGTTTTAATTAATACAATTGTAAAATTAAAATGAGAAGAGCATCACAGCACCCAGAGGTCATTTAAAGGGTATGTGTTGGAAGATAACTTCTGGGGTATCCACAGTATGTACTAAAAGCACACATGCACAACACACACACGCTCACTCACACAGAGGCTTTTAGAGCATGTGACAACATTTCTAACCTGCCCTTAGAAATCCAATCTAGACACAGCAACACAGCGCTGATCCCTGACCTTTTTGGTGACCTTTTTCGATCGTCTTTGCTTGGCAGGAAAGGGTCAACTGGTGAGATTGGCAAAGGTTGCAGGCTGCACATGCAAACAGTGAAGTTGCAACACTTTTCTTTATTGTTTTTTCTTTCTGGTCTGAGCTTTTGGTTAAGCTGACTATTGTTTACTTCATCACTGGTGAGCAAAAAAAAGAAATTCACTTCCTGAACTGCGGCTGTAGGCTGTATCAGCATGCAGTCGTTGCAAGGAAACAAAAAATATGAAACAGCTTCACTTAGCTTATCGTCTTTTAAACAGACAGGGTTTACAATCTTGATTAAATGATTTCTAAATACTGCGTTTATATTTGGTTAAACAGCCAAAGAGCAGTGACACTTTTCACTTTTGATATTAAATTTTTTTTATAAACCCTAATACTTAATATAAATTATACAAAATCAAAAACCCCAGCAGCTGAATTGTTTCTTTAGACTTTGAAACGCCTGTGACATCATCATTTATGTCCTTAGATGAAGCTGATGGTTAAACTTTCAACAAAATAAATCTAAAATAACTTTTCTATTTTAAAAATCATTCTGCAGCAAGCAAAGCACACCAAGTCACCAGATACTGTGTACAAATTAGTATACACTGTCAAAGTATGTGAGTCTTATAACATTGAACCTGTAAAATGTTACGGCTCATTTGGGATGAGACAAGACAGTAAGTGAGGAGAGTTTGAACAGTGCAGTGGTAGTAGCCCGTGTGTTCATGAATCTGAGGTGACGTTAGGCCAAATGATCGATTCAGCTTTGCATATTTTGTGAAATATAACTGCCTCTCTCCACAAATGTTGTTGAGAGAAAAATAAAAGACCATAAAAAGCTACCAGTAACAGAAGTTACTTTTTTTGTATTTTCAAGACAAAAAAAGGAACATTTTTTTCATGAAGAGCAGGAAGGTTCAGACTGGCATTTCCCTGATTTTATCTTACTTTCATCTTTAACTTCCCTAGGGGAAGTTTGTTTTGCTGCGAGGTAAAATCATAAAATATAAATTACATCAGCATATAGACTCAATTACATTTTTTTTAATTTTTTTTTTTTACATAAAACGAAGATTAAGATTAAAACCCTTAAAAATTATACATGCAAGTATCTGCAGTCTTGTCAGGAAATACAAGCGTGTTTAAGTGTCCATTAAAATTCAAAAGCAGGAAGAGATAAACAATAATTTATGTGTAAAAAATACATCATACAATTAAAACAGACGTTAACAGGAAAATACTGCGTCCTTATCAGAATTGAGTTGTTTATGGAGGATGTGTCAAGCCTGGGATGTTGCTAAGTCGGTAAAACTTCATCATTGTTGATAGTTAAAGCTGATTTCTCTAAATAAAACCTGGAAACTTGTAAATGGATGTTTAATTGTGTTAGGGGGTGTGAGTCTTTGAAAAACTATTGCTTAGTGGGTAGATGTAAAATGAAAGATCACATATCCTTCATGCAATCAATTGACAGAGTGTGCCCATTTAAAAGGAAACTGTTAGTCAACACTGAAACTCCTCCTGCTTAACAGTTCCTCTATCTGACTGCCTTAGCTTTAAGCCCCCTTGTGCATTTTTACTTTCGACATCTCCTTTTCTGACATGAATAGAAATAGAGACTAGGTCGGCCAGTTAATACATGAGCTTCCAAACAAAAGTGTGTGAGCTCATAAAATACAGAATCACAAGGTTTCTCTCATGGGAGTGTCACAATGGCATGGATGATTACTTCTACAGTATTCCTGACAGGTGAGTTAATTCCTCCTGATTATGTCTTCCATCGTCTCTACTTAATTAAGCTAATGGATAATAATTTCATTTAATGATTAGGATTCAATTAAAATCTTCATCATCTGTCAGATGTATTCCTTATGCTTTACCTTTAAATACACTGCTGAACACTTTGTAGAAAAACAGTTAAGATGATCAGTTCCACATTTGCATTTTTTTATCTTTGAATTTGTAACCAGTTAAAATATTAAATGAAGCAGAAATAGGAGCGTAGTGAAAGGCTTCCTACCGCTGCTGAAGTATTTCCTGCTATTGCTGAATATGTAAATATATTCATTTATGATTCAATGTAATATCACAACAGCAGTAAAACACAAAGAACTGGATTGATAAGTAACAGGAGTGTTCAGAAGATCAAGGCGATGTTGACTGTGTGTATTTTCGAGAGTTATTCCTGCTGCTTGAAGTCATAAAAGCTGCAGAAGCCAAACAAATGTTTCCAATGCTGACAAGAAATAGAAGAAACCAATCTCATGGAGCTGATTCATTATCTGAAAAATGATGTATGCAAAAGTTAAAGGAATAATACCAATTTGGGAGCAAAGACTAGGCACTGCAATGCACAAGTTATCAAAATGTATTGATGTCCATTTAAGGTGTCAGTCTGAGTTGAGCAGATAAGAGGAAGCCTGTGTTTCCTTAAAACACACCATCAAATGAATCAATACATTAAAGCTTTTGATTATTAACACAAGGAAGTCATTTGTCATGCTGTATGAATCATGTTCATTTTCAGAGACACTCATGTTGTGACCAAATAAGGATAAAAAGGTTGACGATAAAGCTTTCTTGACATCAGGAAATGCTGTGGGATTACAAAAATAGAAATAAGGCCTTCTACATGTTCCTATGTCACAACTTTGTCTTTACCTTTAGAGTTACTTTAAAGGAAATGCTAGAATATATATTTCTAGCTCTTAAAAGGGGGATAATTATGACATAGAACCACTATCACAAATGATCAGAAAGACAGACAAACATCTCCAAAATGTCTTCTGGAATATGTTTTGAATATGAAGGATTATGTTGTGTCAATAAATTCAGAACAAGAACCTTTCTGACTTTGGCTCTCTCTAGTGGCATTATGGAGAAAGACAATGGCAGACATCATCCATAGATCATATAGTTGATCACTTTTCAAACACTCCAAATAACATAAAATGTACAAAACACATAATCTGAAACATGACCTTCTTCTTCTTCTTTTCCTCAGTGTTTAAAGCTGCACTTTGTTTTAATATCGACCCTGTGGCCTGGAAGACCTTTGAAGAGGATGCTGAAGGTTTTGGATACCAGGTTGTGCAGAGAAACTCTGAGTAAGTCAAATCATAGATTTTGAAGGGGGGTATGGGTTCACACTTGTCATTTGTCAACAACTTTGGTTATTTTCATTTCTTTTATTTCTGCTATCATATCTGTTGTGTCAGGAGCACTCAAGTGTTTTGCATTTAAAAAAAAAAAAAGTATTGGGATGGATTTAGCTTCACTTCTCTCAACAATACGTCTCTTTCACTTGTCTCTCTGGTTTTATTCCATCAGCCTGCTGGTCAGTGCTCCTCTTGAACAATATTCTCAGACAGGAAGAGGTGTAATCTATAAATGTTCCACCACTTCCTGTGCAAGACTGTCACTTTCAAGTAAGCAACCTCTCGTTTCCAAATGCTGCAAGATTAAATAACAAGCTTTAGAATGTATGTTTAAAGAAATATTAAGCACACTGTTACTAGGAAATATAAGGGAATGACTTTCTTGCAGTTTGTTTGTTGCGTTCTTGCATATTTTGGGACTGAAATTTTTAAAAAATAATTTATCAAAATGCAAACATTTTGCATGGTTTGATGAAAACTAATAAAGGTAAACCACATGCAAAGTTAAATGCTAAATTTGCCTTTTCCATGAGCCATTCGCAACCATGGAACTCGACAAGAACAGGTTGTTGAACATTTGACTAATGCTGCTAGGACTTACATAGGGAAGTATGTTTGGGTTGTAGTCACTGAGCCTGTGATTTTTTTTATGCAGCGCCACAATTTGCAGTCAACATGTCCCTTGGTCTGGAAATGGCAAATGATCCCAAGACACAAAAAACATTGGTAAGCAGAAGAACTGAAGAGACTGAAAGAGCATTTCTGATATCAACGCATAGATCTGCAAATGGATACATATAAATAACTGTGTCTAAAATAAAATGATTTTCCTTATATTTGACATTATTCTGTTAAAGATCTGGGACATGATAGCCTTTTTGCTTTTATTTATGTAGGTGTGTGGACCAACCATCCCAAAAGACTGCCGAAGTATCACCATGTATGACGGTGTATGCTTAGAAATATCCAAGAATGATCAGTTCCTACGTTCAATGCCCTCTTCCCCTATAGGTAAATATTTGGTTTTATAAGAGCAAGAAACATTTAATCAAATAAGTGTAGTAAAGGTCAGATAATATTTGCATATATCTGAACAAATTAATTACTCCGGACACATAACAGAAGATGCATAGTGGCAGAAATCAAAGCATCTGATTAGTTGTCATATTGCTTATACAGGTACATCTGACCGCCTGACCAGGCAGACACTACACCCATTAGTAATGTAGAAAAATATGTGTAATAAGTGTTAA